GTTCAGTGATGTCTGCAGTGGATGACATCAACATCCATTTTGACAGGTATGTAGCCTCCTTAAAAATTCATGAAGTTCTCAACTTACAACAGTTCATTTAGTAACCATTCGAAATTACGATGACACTGAAAAAAGTGCCTTATGACCATTTTTCACATGGCCATTGGAGCATCCCCAGGGTCACGTGATAAAAATTCAGACGCTTGACAATTGTCTCATATTTATGACGGTTGCAGTGTCCTAGGGTCATCATGCGACCTTCTGGAAAAGCAAAGTCAACAGGAAAGCCAGATTCACTTAACAAGCATGTTACAAACTTAACCACTGCAGTGATTCACTTAGCTGCTGTGGCAAGAAAATTCACTTAACAAATGTCTTGCTTAGCAACAGAAATTTTTGGACTCAATTGTGGTTGTAAGTTGAGGACTACCTGTACAGCTGTCTGAGAAAATCCTGGCTATAGGTTAGGGGGAGGAAGGCAGTTTTTATGATCTGAAAAAGGTCTTTATATCACAAAGTGGGAAGCCAGACTCTGGATGGGATGGGATGGGATGAGGAATAGAATAGAATAGAATAGAATAGAATAGAATAGAATAGAATAGAATAGAATAGAATAGAATAGAATAGAATAGAATAGAATAGAATAGAATAGAATACAGAAAATATGGAATGGAATGGAATGGAATGGAATGGAATGGAATGGAATGGAATGGAATAGAATAGGAGAAAATATGGAACGGGATGGAACGGAACGGAACAGAACAAAGAAAATATGGAACGGAAGGATAGGATAGGATAGGATAGGATAGGATAGGATAGGATAGGATAGAATAGAATAGAATAGAATAGAAAATATGGAATGGAATGGAATAGAATAGAAAATATGGATGGAATAGGATAGAATAGAATAGAATAGAATAGAATAGAATAGAATAGAATAGAATAGATAGAATAGAATAGATAGAATAGAATAGGAGAAAATATGGAATGGAATGGAATGGAATGGAAAGAATACAGAAATATGGAATGGAATGGAATAGAATACAGAAAATATGGAATGGAATGGAATGGAATAGATAGATAAATAGAATAGAATAGAATAGAATAGAATAGAATAGAATAGAATAGAATAAGAAAATATGGAATGGAATGGAATGGAATGGAATAGAATAAGAAAATATGGAATGGAATGGAATAGAATACAGAAAAATGGAATGGAATGGAATGGAATAGAATAGAATAGAATAGAATAGAATAGAATAGAATAGAATAGAATAGAATAGAATAGAATAGAATAGAATAGGAGAAAATATGGAATGGAATGGAATGGAATGGAATAGAATACAGAAAATATGGAATGGAATGGAATGGAATGGAATGGAATGGAATGGAATAGAATAGAATAGAATAGAATAGAATAGAATAGAATAGAATAGAATAGAATAGAATAGAATAGAATAGAATAGAATAAGAAAATATGGAATGGAATGGAATGGAATAGAATACAGAAAATATGGAATGGAATGGAATGGAATGGAATGGAATGAATGGAATAGAATAGAATAGAATAGAATAGAATAGAATAGGAGAAAATATGGAACGGGACGGAACAGAACAGAACAGAACAGAACAAAGAAAGGATAGGATAGGATAGGATAGGATAGGATAGGATAGGATAGGATAGGATAGGATAGAATAGAATAGAATAGAATAGAATAGAATAGAATAGAATAGAATAGAATAGAATAGAATAGAATAGAACAGTTCTTCATTGGCCAAGTGTAATTGGACACAGAAGGAATTTGTCTCCGGTGCATGTTCTCAATATACATACAGGCAACAAAGTGATAAAAACATAAATCAAAAGATACAATCATAAGTCATAAGATAACCAACTAGTAATAGTCATAAGTTAAACATGTTATTAACTTAATAACTGCAAAGAAGGTCTTAAAATCAGGGAGGATGTACTTAAGAACTGGCTTAAGAACCGAAATTTTGAGCTCAATTGTGGTCATAAGTGGAGGACCATCCGTACTGTTACGGAAGGCATAGTCAATCGAAGAACAAACAAGGGAAGGAAAGAGTTACACACGCCCACATAGTACCAGGGGGCTCTGATCCAAATTGGAGGAGAGGGGAAATAAATGCTTTTAAGCACAGACTAAGCAGCCATGGCTTCTCGCATTTAGCTCAGAAAAGATTTCTTATGAGAGCAAGCCTTTGAAGTAATCCAAACTGTTAACCAGGTTAAATGTTAAAGCACTGGGGTTTAAAAGAAAAAGAAAAAAAGATAGAGGAAGATTCTTCTTTTGGCATGGGTAAGCTCTAAATGTGGTAGTCTGTAGATTAACAGCATCTAAAGATAAGCTTAGGGGGAAAAAACGGGTTTCCTAGGAAGGAAACAGTGATTTCCTTTTTAAAATCAATGAAAGCGACTCCTTCTGTGCCTCCTTTGCTGCAGAGCAAACCCCAGACGACTTATTTGCAAATTACATGCAAAAGGCTGAGCAGGGGGGTTTGATCTGGCAAACTTTCTCACCTCCAAGCCATTAAATAGGAGGAAATTAAGTGCTTTGTAAAATCTTGGCTTTTCTGTAAACCAGGCACCCTTCACCATTGCCAGAGCTACTGGATTCTTTCACAAGGACTCCTTTGTGAAGTCAGTTGTTGAAAGACACAAGGAGCAGGAGCTCCACGGAGCGAGAAGCAGTAAACAGACAATGCTGAATTCTTACAGAATAACAGCGTGGGAAGGGACCTTGTAGGTCATCTAGTCCAACCCCCTGCTCAAGCAGGAGACCCTACATTTCTGACAGATGGCAGTCCAGTCTCTTCTTGAAAGCTTCTAGTGATGAAGCTCCCACAACTTCTGGAGGCAACTTCTGTTCCATTGGTTGATTGTTCTCACTGTCAGGAAATTTCTCCTTTATTTTTAGGTTGAATCTCTCCTTGATCAGTTTCCATCCATTATTCCTTGTCTGGTCTTCCGGTGCTTTAGAAAATAGCTTGACCCCCTCCTCTCTGTGGACTGCTATCATGTCTCTCCTGGTCCTTCTCTTCACTAGACTAGCCATGCCCGGTTCCTGCAATTGTTCATCGTATGTTTTGGCCTCCGGTCCCCTGATCATCTTTGTTGCTCTTCTCTGCACTTTTTCTAGAGTCTCAACGTCTTTTTTATAGTGTGGTGACCAAAACCGGATGCAGTACTCTAGGTGTGGTCTTACTAAGGCTTTATAGAACGGTATTAGTACCTCACACGATCAGTTATGTTAGTATAATAATTTATGATGTTTGGTTCTAAATGTATGATTATGTTTTAAAATAGCTTTCTGCAGCTTGGAAAACTGCAGGAGGCCAAATTGGTTGGGGATTATAGGTAAATAGTCCAGACGTAAGCACCTGGGGATGGTGGATTTAGAATTTGGACACTGTGGTGTAAGCACATTCACACAATGGCTGTCATGGGAAACTAGCCCAAATAGGCAACACCAGTCACAAAACACCTATAGGCAGTCCTCAACTTGCAGCCACAACTGGGATCAGAATTTTAGTTGCTAAGTAAAGCGGTTGATAAGTGAATTGTGCCTGATTTTATGACCTGTTTTGTCATGTTTGTTAACCGAATCATTGCAATTGTTAAATGACTCATGGAGTTGATAAGCAAATCTGGCTACCCCCATCCCTTGACTTTAGTCATCTGCCTCAGAAGATTGCAAATGGTGATCACATAAGCTTGGGACCTTTGAATATAAACTATTAATTTAATTTACATTCTTCCTTGATGAATTTGGGAACAACTGAATAGTGAGTTTGCAGCAGAATATAGGGTGCAGTGGTGAGATTGCAACAGAATGGAGGGTGCATTCAAGAAAATACACAATATTTCAGGGATATTGTAATCGTTGTGGAAAATTAATTAATATGCAGGACTTTTCCAAAGGAAACAGGCTGAATATACAGTAGAGAGAAGTTGAGGACAGGTCAGTCACAGGTTAGTGGAGCCACCTAGTGGTTACTTTGGTAACTAGCTCAATGTCAAAGGGAGTGCCTTGTTGAAGGAAATTGAAGGAAATGCAGTAAAAATAGTTTCTGTAAAAACTTTTTATTTTGCTTCATGACCAGAAGTCAGCCCTTCTCTGAGGTCACCCCAATGCTTTGGAACTCCCCTCATGACACCTTCCCCAAAGTTCACCCAGCCTCTTTGTTACTGAACTTTTTGCAAGAACAATAATATCTAGGCAAAACTTTTTTTAATTCAAAGCCAATTGAGCTGCCCCTATTTCTTCGTTTATATTTTTTAATGTCTGCATTTGTGTTTGTGGAAGAGTGTCTTACTCGGTATTAGGGACTTGATGAACTGCTATTATATATTAGCTGCTTTTGTTTCTACCCCAGGTCTGGTGAAAAGAAAGAAAGAAAGAAAGAAAGAAAGAAAGAAAGAAAGAAAGAAAGAAAGAAAGAAAGAAAGAGAAAGAAAGAAAGAAAGAGAAGGAAGGAAGGAAGGAAGGAAGGAAGGAAGGAAGGAAGAAAATAAGAAAGAAAGAGAAAGAAAGAAAGAAAGAAAGAAAGAAAGAAAGAAAGAAAGAAAGAGCTTTCTTAAACTAAAATTAACTTTCCAAAGCTTTTCATTAGAGTAACAAAGAAGCGAGGCAATTAAAATGCTAGGCTGAAATAGGAATTCCATCAGCCAAAAGGATGCATTCCGTCTCTGTTCTTCCCCCCCCAAAAAAAACTTTGGATAAATCTGCATAATATGACAAACTTAACTGAAACAACATAGAGGAATGAACCCAAGTGCGATATAGCACAATGTGGCACAGTATTTATATTTAATATGCACATAACAATATCATTTTTTCCCACACGACCACTAGACCAAACAAGAGTGGATTATATTTGAACTCAGCAGATTGTGCAAATCCGTCCCCCCCCTTTTTTTTTTTTATTCTCTAACCCCACAATAGTAGAATTTGAAAGCCTTGTTCTCAATTACTTACCAAAGCAAAGCAGATGCCCCCGTAATTTTACATCCAGGAGGTAACAAATGATGATCTGGGGAAAAATTGTCCTTGCATTATGTTTCTTCACATTCTTTCATTTGTTTTTTCAGTTTCTGCAGAATTTAAGAAAACAAATGAATGTAGGAATTGCAGTGGAAACGGCATAAGATTTGTAATTGTTAGAATCTTGCATGAGGCAGCAGTGTTATTTTTTTAATCTTGCTTTTCAATCAAAATGGTTACATCATTATTATTACAGGTATTCTTGGCTTACAAACCATTCATCGAAGGTTTTTAAGAAGAGATTGGACAGCCCTATCCAGAATGGTATAGGGCAGTGATGGCTAACCTTTTCCGGCTGAGTGCCGAAAGTGTGCTTGTGAATATGCGCGTGTGCCCCCGACCCCCCAAAATGCAATGCATACGTGCCCCCACAGTGCCATGCCCCCTGCATGCGTGTGAAGCCCCTCGCACGTGCCATACCCTCCCCACATGCACACATACCCCATACACACGCCTCACCGACGCGCATGCACACGCAGCCCCCCACATGCGCCCTGCCCCAGTGCATGCACAGCAGACCTGACAACCAGCTGGCCAGCTGGAGGCACGTGCATATGTGGGGCGGAACTGAACTGGGGCAATGGCTCGCGTGCCCACTGAGAGGGCGCTGCATGCCAGCTATGGCACACGTGCGATAGGTTTGCCATCATGGGTATAGGGTTTCTTGGTCAAGCAGGGGGTTGGACTAGAAGACCTCCAAGGTCCCTTCCAACTCTGTTATTCTATATTATTTAGCAATCATTCAAATATACAATGGTACTGAAACAAGTGATTTACAACCAGTCCTCACCGTTACAAGCATTGTAGCATCCCCATATTTACATGATCAAAATTCAGCCCCTTGGCAACTGGCATGTATCTATGTTAGTTGCTGTGTTCCCAGGGTCCTTTGCGACCTTCCCAACTGGCTTCTGGCAAGCGAAGTCAATGGGGAACCCAGGTTTGCTTAACGACGGCATTATTCACTTAACAACTGCAGGGATTCACTTAACAGCCGTGGCAAAAAAAGTTGTAAAATCGGGCACTTGACCAAGGAAATTCTGGTCCCAATAATGGTTGCAAGTTAGGACTCCCTGTTTATTATTATTAAAATACGAGTCCTTCCTCATGGGCTTGCAATGTAAAAGATGTCTCCATTGAAAAGGAAGGAAGAAGTGGGGGACACAAAACTCCAGCCTGACACCCTTAAATTTGCAGCAGTAGCTAAATGATAAAATCCAATTTGGTCTAGAAAATGGAAGACAGGGAGTGGGTTCAAGTCCCGTCTTAGGCAGGAAAGCCACTGGGTGACTTTGGGCCAGTCGCTCTTCAGTCCAACTCATCTCACAGGGTTGTTGTTGTGAGGAAAAAAAGAGGAAGGTATGTTGGATATGTTATAAAAAATAAAATAAAATAAACACCTGGAAGAAAAACCACATATTTATTATATTCTCCTCCTCCTTTTCTTCCTCCTTCAAGTTTTTTTCCTGCCTTTTTTTCATACACGGCTCAAGACAGCAAACATGCCTCCTAATCTTTCCTCCTCCTCTTTTCCCCACAACAACAACCCTGTGAAGTGGGTTGGGCTGTGAGAAGCCAGTTTTTCATGCCTAAGGCGGGACTAGAACTCACAGTCTCCTGGTTTCTAGGCCAGTGCCTTGACCATTTAATCAAATTGGCTTTTCTTTTTTTTTTCCTTTTTTTTTTTGAGGGCAATGGAACCATCTGGAAATGTTAATAGCCATCGATGCCTCCACCACCATCACAAAATGGCTGCCTGAGGGGAAAAAAAAACAACCGAGCCTTGAAGAGAAGAGGCAGCCACCATGTCCCAAAACATGTTGCGGAATAATATTTCAGCTCCCTCAAGACCACCACCCCAAATTTCCCTGGATGCTGCTTCATCCCCTTCCTTCTTTTTTTTTTGCATTATCCTCCCAAGATGCTGCTTATTTATCAATTTGTTTTGTATGCTGCCTTTTTTCCCCATATACAATTCAGGGCAGCAAGCGAACGTACTTCTTATCCCTTTTCTCCTCCTCCCCCTCCTCCTCTTTTCCACACAACAACCTTGCGAGGCTGGTTGGGCTGAGACAAGAAGGAACGGTCCAAAGTCACCCAGCGGCTTTCCATGCCTAGGGGAGGATTAGAACTCAGAGCCTCCTGTGTTTCTCAGTCCTCTGAGGGAAGCTTGGCTGGGGATCAGCCTCCACCATGATTACTGCTGAAATTATTATAGTTGTTGCTGGAGGGGGCAATTAACAGGCTTTGAAAACCTGACAGAGATCCTCTCTCCCTCATCTTATACTTCTTTATTCTTCCTTTTTTATTGTTGTCGACCACCTAGAGTAGCCCCACATCGAGATAGGCAGCAAATAAATTCAACAAATAAAATAATGAATAGTAGAAGAGAATCAAGGCACGGCAATCTTGAGCCTTTTCCTCACGTGAGGAAAAGGCGAAGGGGATTATTTGCTGTTGGAATTTTCTTCTCAAAGGCCATCTCCCTATTGCTTTACTTCTCAAGCATTGGATCTCTCTGGATCCAATGCTAGTAATTTGACCTTATATTATTTAGGGGATGGCTCCTCACACGTTATTTTTCAGGTTTCTAAATTTTTTTTAAGAGCTGTAACTATTAGAGGAGAACGCTGTAATTCCTCTCAGCCAAGGCTTCTGGTAGCCAACTGTTTATGTTACTTTCCCCACGTTCTTTTACAATTATATTTGTATTTTGGTCTGTGACCGCAAATAAAAGTTATTATTATTACTCCTCAAGCGCTGCCTCCAGACCTTCCTCGTGGCTGGCCGTCATGGGAGTTGTAGTCCAATGGCACAGCCATGTGGTAGGCTGGCCTGTTTGTGCAGGGTGGGCTACAATAAACATTATGGGTCAGCATGGATAACGCCAAGACTGGGCAATCTGCACATCAATTTTATGTTTATTCTGCTTTTATTCTTTTTATAAATAACTCAAGGTGGTAACAAAACCTAATACTCCCTCCTCCCACCCCACCCCCCAAAAAAACAACCCTGTGAGGTGGGTTGGGCTGAGAGAGAATGATTAGCCCAGTCACCCAGCTGGCTTTCATACCCAAGGCAGAACTAGAACTCACCGTCTCTTAGTGACTGACCCAGTCGTTCATGTCCAAGGATTAGAACCCAAGAGACTCCTAGTTTCTAGGCCAGCACCTTCACCACTATACTAAACTGGTTCTCAATGTGTTCACAAGAGTGGAAAACCTTTAAAGACAACAAATTCAGGACCTTGGCTCAGGCCATTATTTGCTTTGCTTAATCCTGCTTTAAGCAAGCCACTCTGGGCTGGGTTCATAACTGCATTACTAAATTAAGGGAAGTCATGTGCCACAAAGAAAAGTTGCATCGTCTGAACAAAGCCACAAGTATGGCTCTCATTATCCTGCAAATACCCACCTTCTCCACTCTTGTTCAGAAACATTCTCCCATAAGGCGGTGAAGACCTGGTTATGTGCCCAGGCCTGGGTTCCTCAGTGTTTTAAAGCCGCATTTCTGGGTTATATCAACATCTGTAGCAATAGTTTTACTCAGCAACTATTTAATCTATTTTGTATTGTTTTAAGGGTTTTATTTTTATGATGATGTACACCAGTCAGTCACTTGTTCAGATGGCAGCTATAGAAAGCAAATACGTACATCTGCAACCAACAACTTTGTGTGGCTTGAAGTGATATTGGGAAGAGGATGTAGTGTATGTGTCAAGATGCTTCTGGACCGCGTTTCCAACCCTCACCATCTCTTACATTCATGTATTTTATTTATCGAGGGTACAACCTGAAATCAGGGGAAAGACACAGAACACCTACTAGTTTGGATCACATCCTCCCATTACTCAGGTTCCTATTAAAAGACTTTTACTCCAGTTTTCACATGTATGGTTTAGGCCCATCTTCTCTGACCAGCAAATATTCAGCAGCATCTTTTAGCATATTCTAAAGACTAATCCGCCCTGGTGCTGTTTTAGAACGCCTGAAAAATTACAGGAATGTAGGTATGAAAGTCTGGACTCTATGCCAGTAGGCCAGGTCTGTTCTTGTTAGGAATTAAATGCAGCTGCAAATTATCTTCTTTATTAACATTGTCACTTGCAAATACAGTACATTAAGAATTTTGTCCAAAAGTGGTTTTTGTTTGGGTTTTTTTTGGTTAAAAAAAAATACAATTTTTAAATTACATATTTCTGGCTCTTCCAACTGCAATTTAGCAGCTTCCTTAACCCAGAAATACAATCCAAACCTTTTCATATTTTTAAAGTCTATTATTTATAGTATATACAAAGAACCACAGAATTGAAAAGTGTCCTTAGAAAAGTGACTCAAGCTTCCACACCCTTATGATCAACCCTCATAGTATGGGGCTAAGTTGCATTTTTTTCATAAAAGAAAAGAAATCTACCCCAGCACTATCGTTGAGAGTGTAAAGTTTTTCTTCCAAGAAAGAGTCTGCTCTGCTGCCATCTTTTGACCAAGTGTACCTGCTACTTTGTAAAATTACTCTCCAGTGTTGCAAGAGCACATACAAAAATGACAAGTACAGGTAGCAAGCATGACATACACAAGTCAGGCTAAGAGTGTCAAGGCCCTTCAATGCTTCATTAGCAGATAAAATTATCTCTCACAAAGATTTTCCTTTTTGCTCCAAATGAGAGGAATCCAGGCTGAATTATTATTGCCTTTGTTCATATTCTGCTACATCTAATGTCCATCAAGATCATTCTTGGCTTGTTCTTTCAATGCTTCTGTGGCATAATTGATTCCTGGGAATCCCGTCGCTGCCAAGATCCAGCCCTGTCGCATGACGGAATGATTTTCTAAAGTTTTTTTTTTTTAATTTTTTGTTTCCCTGAAGTCTATATCCAACAATAATCAAGTAGTAAAAATGGAAGTACCCTGTAAAAAAAGAGAAAGCAGAAAGTTAAAGCAAAGGTCTAACTTGATATTTAGCATGTTTGCAAGCAGTGTTCACTATATTTCTTCGGGAGACAGCCTTTATCTCAAGACATCTCTGGGATCTAGTTATGCTGTTGTCTATTTTTCTAGTGCCATTTATTTTTATCTTTTGCTACAGGTAGCCCTCGACTTATGAATATAATTGGGAGCAGAATTTTCATTGCTAAGCAAGGCAGTCATTAAATGAGTTGTGTCCAGTTTTATTATCTTTTTTGTTAAGCGAATCATGCAGTCATTAAGCAAATCCAGCCTCCCCTATTGACTTGGCTTGTAAGAAGCCCCCTGGGAAGGTCACAAATAGCAATCACATGACCTTGCATGATCCAACTGTGGCAAATACATACTAGTTGCCAAGCGCTCAAATTTTGATCATGTTTCCACGGGGATGCTGTGACCGTCATAAGCAGAAGGATCAGTTGCAAGTCACTATTTCAGTGCCATTGTTACTTTGAACAGTTGCTAAATGAATAGCTGTTTTAGTCGAGGTCTACTTGTATATATTCTAAGCAGAAATGCTTCAGTAAATCTATTGGGTATTTCCACTAGACAGAATATGCATTGCCTACACATTCAGCAGTATGTCATGAGGCTACTAACATCAAGACAAAGATCACTTCACATCTATAATTTAAAAAAAAAAAAAAACAGCTCCATTTATTAGTTAGGCTCTTTGCAGATCAAGGCCACCCCAAATTCTCTGAAGCACCGAGTGTCTCTGTTGCCCTCCTTATTTGTAGCATTGATTCAAGGGAGTGAATCAACTTCTGAAAAGTGAGAGCTTCTTAGCAATTCCAACAACCAGCTAGCTTGGAAGGAACATACCTATGTCATCTAGCTGTTGCCGTTACCACACCTGGGGACTAAAATTTTCCAGTAACAAACGCCGACCCTCCTCGTAATCATCCTCATCCACGTTGACTAGCAGCCGAATAGCTTCCTGGCCCACAGCTTCTTTGAGTGAGTCTGTGATGAAGACGCCTTTCAATGCCTCAAGCAGAGAGCCGTTCATGTAGTCACTCCAAAAGGCATCCAGGTAAGAGAGCTCTGAGAACTTGATGTCACAGATGATTGAGCCCAGGTCGCGGGATTTCAGGATAGTGTTCGACTGCCCAAACACATCAAACTGACGCTCCAAATGGTTCTGCTTATTGGACATCACATTCTGACGCAAGACAGGCTCATGCTGACAATATTCTGCCCGAACACGAAGCCGGATGTCTGAGAGGAACACACGAAAGAGAGAGAGAGAGAGAAAGGAGGGGGAAGAAAAAAGAGGGCCATTAGAGCTGTCAATCACAAACAGAGCAAGAAGACAAACACACAGTCATGCAGCGGTATTCTAGGGTCAGTCTTTCAATAGTCCTGAGCATAAAGACCAACCAAACTTAAGCTCAAACCCATTCAGGATTCCCCCAAAATTCAGGGACCTGAAGAAATCAGGCTCAGCAAGGGGCATTTCCACTAATTTTTAGGTGTTCCTTTGGCACAAAGTTAGAGCTGAACTTCATTTATACTTATCTGTTAGCTTCCATAGTCAGCCTGCAACACCTCCCTATTTCAAATTAAATATGAATACACATCCAGCCTCAATTCCTACCCAGAGGAGCAAAAGAACAAATCCCTTAGTGTAGCATATCTTCCACCATTACCATCTATGCCTGCTATCAGCCATCAACATGGGTCTTAATATGATGTACATAGGTTTCAGTCAATGGAAGTTAACTTATACATCTAAAACAACTTGAATTAATGGAATGTAAGGCAAGATCAACCTGATCTATTGGCTGGATTTGAAGAGAGTCTGAACTTAAAACGAGGGACCTATTCTGCACACAGCCTTGTTTATATTCTGAACATACTGACATGCTGCTAGGCAGGTCTACTACTGTGGTGCAGATGCCTCACTAATGAGCAAAGTTCAGCTCTAACTATGGACTGTGGAAGGAAAAGAACAGGTCTGTTTTGTTCAGTCACCCCCAATGTTATCGTCAGCATTATAGCTGAACGTGTTAAAAGGTTCAAAAGGGAGGGATAAATGGAACGAATACAGAGTAAGATACGTTTAAGAAAAATGAGGCAGGTGGTGCATTACATACGCTCAACAAGGCCGTCAGCTTTAATTTCTCTGTGTCTTGTGGTCATCACCTGTAGAAGCATTAACTCAAAGTGCAGTCACAGCCCTTTTCCAGTAACTTTGCACGGCCTGGAGACCAAACCCACCCACACCACCAAGCTACAAGCAGCTTTTCAGTAGATGAGAGCCCTCAAGCAGCATGACCTTCAGAATCCTTCACCACCACCCCCAACCCCAGATGGGCAACAGCAAAGCTGTGCAACGAACTGCATTTAACAGTGGCCCATAGCATTGATTCATTTTTAATTCAATGGCAGACAGACAGGGAGCAGCAAAATTTAAACACATGTTTAAAGACCTGCATGAGCTTCTACTGGAAACAGTTCCTTTCCTCCCACATTTATGATCATTGTACCAGAAGGTTGCTAATCCATACACTCAAAACCTGTTCGCCTTAAAGGACTTCAGCTGCTGGGCCACTGGAAACCATTTTGGGGTTCCAAATACAGGTTCCCACCCAATTGCTGACTGTATACATATAAGTTGAAAATCCCCCTTTGTACTGTACACAGCTTAAAATACAGACTTTTTGCATCCATGATTTGGCACATGATTTCATCAGAACAGTTCACCCAGTTTCTAATATCAACAACGTTCTGGAGTACTTCATGAGGCAGCTGTCAGAGTTGGCGTTAACATACTGGCAATCCTTGAATCATAGTTACATTGCACTTGAACGGATTTAGCCGCTTTCTTTCCTCCCCAGGACACGATGAGAATTAAGACCGTATGAAAGAATCCCAGCTTTTATTTCCAAACAGGCAGGAAACGTATCAAATTACATGCTCTGGCTATGTGGGAAAGGTCTTCTGCATCTAGACTGTGGGAATTAGTTCAACCATTTTCCACAGCCAGCAGTAATGCAAGCTCTGAACAGCTGCACTGAATTAAACACTAAACTCATGGGCAAAAACACCAGCTGAGGCAGCACAAACACTATCACACCCACCCGCCCACCCCATCATTTCCAGGCCCCGGTCCCAGTGAAATAATCCCACTGTGGTTATTATGTAGAAGTAAAGACAAACTTGAAAAACTTGTTTCTGAGCCAGATACTGCGCGCAGGCTTCTGCCAATGTCTTTTCCCAAGTTTGAATCACAGTAGCAAGAATGAAGGAAATACCTTCAGGTCCATTGTCACTCAAGTAGGATGGTTTCAGAGAAGGAGGCCTGTCACCTCAATATCCATGCAACCCCCATTAGTGTGTGTTCAACACTATTAAAAGATTACAAACCAAGATCAGGTGACCCAACAGGAACCAGAGAACTTTAAATTCTCAGTTTCCAAAACATGTTGGGACCTACAGATCATCCTGAATCAGATATAATCTTTATTTATTTATAATAAATTAATAATTATATATTATGCCACCCACTCCCCAAAACAAAAACTTAAAATATTTACAGGCCAACAAAAACCAATACAGACAATGAAACCACAGAGAAAGGCCTCCACTGCGCTGAAGGCCACAAGTCCCAAAGTCCAAGGCTGTGTCCCTCACAGCTTGTATAAGAGTGCTGCAGGGTCCAGTTGCAGGTTCGCTTCTAACATAGAAGAAGCGTTGAAGAGGCAGGTGAAATAATCAAGTGGGACACACTTAGTTTTTGCTTTTAAACTTGTTTGGGTATTTTTACCAGTGTCTGGTACTTGGCCCGCTTGCCTGGGCCAATACTTATGCTTTTCCAGGGATGGATTTCAACTGTGGACCGAGAGAAACATGGTTCAAGACTTTTAGCACATGGTAACATCAAGAAATCATTCTGAGATTCAATATTGTAAAAGAACACAAAAAAATGGAGTAAGGAACCTAAGCTAACTGCTGACATGGACTGCTGCAGATATCAGACTGAATACAGATATTTCTCTACAAGGTCATTAACAGGTAGTCCTCGACTTGCAACCATAAATGGGGGGCAGAATTTCTGTTGTTCGGCAAGGTGGTTGTTAAAGTGAGTTGTGCCCAGTTTTACAACCTCTTTGCCATGGTTGTTAAAGTGAATCACTGAACTTGTTAAAAGAATCATGCGGTTGTTAAGCAAACCCAGCATCCCCCTCATTGGCCTTGCTTATTGGAAGTCGCGAGGAAGGTTGCAAAGGGTGATCACGTGATCCTGGGATGCTTGCAACTGTCATAAATATATGCTAGTTGCCAAGTGCCTGAATTCTGATCACGTGACCATGGCGATGCAGTGCAGTGACTGATTTTAAGTCACTTTTTCAGTGCTGTTGTAACCTCAAAAAGTCACTAACCAAATGATTGTAAGTTGAGGATTACCTGTGGGGTTTTTATTATTGTTATTGAGGACAAAGTGACACACAAATCATTATTATTATTATATTTACTGGAACTGGGAAATACTAACTAGTGACAACAATGAATAATTTCAGGAATATCAACAATTATGAATGCATATACCAATAATAAATGTTGGCTAGCCAGAAGGAACTGCCCAATCAAACTGATGTGAAGAATTTAAGGGTATTTCCACCCCAATCAAAGGGATAAAAAAGGAGCCCCCAAGAATTCCATAGCAGTTATAATGGTCTGATACCTGCAGCAGTAATTATATGCAAAATTAAGATCAGTTGATAGGGAGGCCTTCAATGGACTGACACATCAAAGAATGGCAACTCCCAAAGAGCAAATCCCTCATAGCTAAACTATCTCAGCCTGTTTCCATCACATTAGGGGTGGGCAACTATAGCAACTTTATGCCCTATGGACTTCAACTCCCAGAATTCCTGAGCCAGCATGGCTGACTCAGGAATTCTAGAAGCACAGAATTCTGGAAGAATTCTGGAACCACAGGTCATAAAATTGCCATAGTTACTGACCCTTGCATCAGGCCCTGCTGGAGGTTTGGGGCACAAGGCCCCCACAGTGCCAGTCTGGAGTAACTCTAACCAGTATCATAAACCCAGGAGCTGACAGTGCAGCCCTGTCCCCTATGGGCATTCAAAACAGTCAACATGTCTTTATGAAGTGGCTGTCTGAGAGGCTGGCATGCAGGGTGGGCAACCTTTTTTTTTTTTTTTCTAGAAATAGTAACTCAGCAGATATCATAAAATACAAATTTGCTTTTCACAAAGTACTGGTGGAAATTCGGGTGCATGGATTCATTTACCTTTGCGAGACCATTCTGTGAGGAGAGTGCACAAGTGAGACAGAGTCTCTTTATCATCAACTTTTGCTTAGTAACCTGGAATTTAAATGGTGGATTGAGAAAGAATTGGCAGAAATCAAGCAGCAACAAAAAAATGTTCATTCGGGAGTTTGCATGGATTTTTCTTCATTACGGTATTGCTCTTTCAAACTGAGATAGCCTACAGTACTATAACACACCAGGAAGGGAGACTCCCAGGTTTAGTTTTGCAACTCAGAAAGCTAATAAAATAGCAGAGCTCATTTCAGAAGCAGCTGCCTATGAATCTTAAATTCTGCCTCAGTGAAGCAAGGTAATGTTACAAAGAATACAGGCAACAGTCTAGGTGTTGAATGGAGCTTACAGTTTGATCCTTGCACCTACCCGGCAGTAGCCTTAGCTGCACCTTGAAGTTGCAGACTCATTGTATTATTTTTGAACATTCTTCATTAGAACCTATGGCCTGTAAATTGGTCAGATGGTAAGACAAGTGTTTTTGTGCATTCACTTTTGTTTCATTTGCATTGCACTGACACAAACACAATAGCACAAGAGAGTTCTGCAGGGATCATCTGCCAGCCTTGGGTATCCACTGGCTGAGTGAGGGTGCTACAAACTAGGCAGATGGAACACACTTCCAAATAAGGAAACTGTAAACACATTATGTGGTTTGTCACAGACAACGGTCCACCTGCAGATTTCACAGTTTTCTTATGCAGAGTCTTTAGCTAGTAAGACAGATATATAGAATCTGAGACAACCTTAAATTATTCAAAGGAGATAAAATATGCTGGTCTTAGAGACAGGCACTTACACAGAGCTGGAAACCAAGACAGAAATCTGACTGTTAATTTATCTGTATGATTTTAGTTTACAATTTAGATACGTACTGCTGATGTCAGAGTATAATTTCAACAGATGACTACTACCAACCAAGGCAGGAGGATAAAACTTATTAGAAAATCAGAAGAAACCAGGCAGCACCAACAGAGCTATTCAATAATAGCTCATATCAAGTGTTGGCCTTTGATAAAAGGATGGGCAAGTCATTCCAAAGAATACAACAGCTATTTACTTGGTAAACATATTCAATGTTGTCTCCAATCAATAATATGGCTCTATTACTCATGAGTTTTATTACTACCATCCCACAGAGAATGAACTTGTGGTATGTATGAACTTCTTGCAGGAATGATTATTTTCCTAATGACTTAGTAGGGAAAAAAAACTAGTTTCAAAAGAAACTTGGTTTATCCTCCAGTTTTTGTTATTTATCTAAATGTAAAAAAGGTCTTTCAAATCTTTCCATTCTGAGCCCAGAAGTCTTTCATTTGGAATTAATGCTTTCATCAGAATTGTTTTTCATTTGAAATTAATAAAAGTGGAAATAACCAGATTATCTTGCATTTCTCCAGCTCAACACAGAGATCATCATCAAAGTCATTAAGATACTCTCTTCAAGACCAGCATATGAAACACTTCAGTGTACTGAAATAAGTCTCCCCAAAGCTGATGTTATGGATATCCAAGTTGGAAGGCATTCATAAAATTTGTTGTTACGCAGGATGCCCAAGAAAATTTTGTATGAAACTGGGGTATATATTTTGAGCATAAATTTGTTTTGATAGCAGTGGAAAAAATAGTTGTCCGTTACCAAATTACACAGGGAACTGAACACAAATTCTGTGAAGTGGGTTGGAGACTTCCCACCCTCTCTCAAGGAGGGGCCAAAAACTCCTATTCTTGTTTAGTGGAACCACGTCTTAATATCAGGTTTAAACTGCACTTAATATTGTAAGCCAAACCTCAGGCTCCTTCACAAGACAGCCTCTGTAAATTCAGCTACTGCATCTCTTTTTTCTCCCCCAACCAACTCTACTCCCTTGTGATTCTAGTCAAAGAAAGAGAGAAATAGAACAAATGACCCTTAATTGAAACCAAGATTGCTAATGTGTTTTAGAGTGGTTTCATGGGTTTTCAAAACAAAAGTTAAAAAACCCAGATCAAATGCATCCCAAGAACATAGCACATGCCAGGCAGACACCTACCACAAGTCACTTTGGTGGGAGCTGGAACCTCCTGCTTTGGAGCAGAAGACGCTTTAGCTCCCCGCCGTCTACAAAGAGAAGTAGCCTTAGATCGACCTCTGCTTACTCGCTTCCTTTTGCTCGAATTGGAGCCTAGAAAATGAAAGAGGGGAGGGGGGGAAATGATATAAGTCTTTATGATGCTCCCCAATAGCGTAGCAATAAATATAAGAGAATATCTGTAGCTCAGGATTGAATTGTGAGATCCTTGGCGCTCTCCAAGCTTGGTTGTTTGCTTGCAGATGTTTCATTACTGACTAGCTAACATCAGCGCTAGCGTGTGTGGGGCTCGCTAAAAATAAATCTCATGTTACACAAATCTGCCATTCTACATCCATGGTTCATGAATTTCAAACACCAGATAACAATTGGTTATCTGAAAAATGTTAGTTTAAAATGGATCTTTGATTAGGCCCAGGACTATACTGCTTAGTATTAATATCCTGACTTTTATAAAAATTCAGCATCTGTAATCAATACAAAGACAAATCAAGAGCATAGAATATTGTCTTTTCAAATTCACACACCTGTCTCCCACTGATCATGTCGAGGCTCTGAAGAGGCTGAATTCAGACAGTTGTCCATTTGTTGGTCTGCTGACAGAACAGATGGTCCATAGGTGTATCTCTCAGGAGAAACTAGAATTAAACGTTTTGAAAGTTAGGCAGTACTTCAAATGGAACAGTTCTGCAAGGAAACATCACCCGTTGGTCAAATCAGCTTGGATTCCAGTTCTGCTGATGTTCTTATAATCACAATATTCAAAACAATAATATATGCAAGGAATTATTCAGTGCCTGAAATTGCCATAACCATTTTCCCCCTTTAACATTTATCCTACTATAAGTAAAACTGCTACAAAATAGGTAGAAATGACCTAGGTTAAATATCCACTAAGAAAAGAAACTGTTATTCTGTGAGATTCGATCAACAATGAAATGTTACATTTTTCCTACTGCTCCAATCCAGTACCTGTACGCTGCCTTTTCAGGGTAACATATGGCAATAGATCATGCCTTGTTAGCACCCTCAGGAGCTGTAAAAGCTGCACAAAGTTGGTTTCATCACATTTGCCTCTCCTCTCCAATTCCAGGAGCAGTTGGACACCATTCTTTGGCTGCCATTTCTCTGCAACTGCCTCAAGGTTGCTGTTGTTCCTGCCCAAATTACACCAGCATGGATTTTTCCTCTTCCAGTTTTCTAATGCCGGTGAGGTAAGCTCAGAACCACCTTCTTCTTCTGCCGCCACAGTCCAAAGGGCCGGATCCAATGGATGAGTCCAGGGCTGTGTCTCATCCAGAAGGAACGAGAGCACTTCCACATCATTCTCTGTGAGCTGAGAACCAATGACTTCAAACATCTGATGCAGGGAAACCATCCCATAATATTCAAGGCATTCTTCCTCTTCCCAAATGTGGGCAAAAAGTTGCCTTCTCATGTCAGCCATGTAAAAACACAAATCCTAGGAACCTTTAAAGACTACAAGCTAGGATTGAACAGATACACTGTATTCTGAAAACAGACGGAAAAAGAAGAGTCTCTTGCCAAGTTAAATTAAGAAAATACAGAAACTGATCTGAAGCCTTGAAGGAAAATTCTTTCAGATTCCCAGTTTCACCACACAAGGATCTGTAAATGAGAAATGAGAGTTACTGGATCAGATCAAACCTTCCACTGTTGCCTCAATTAAGACAACAATAACCATACAGATCTACGTCAGTAATACTACACGCCTACAGTGTGTGTGTGTACACTTCCACGCACGTGCTTTTGAGTCAAGTGTTGACTCCTTGGACAAGCCCTTTCCGTTTTCTTGGTCACCTTTTTTTTCCTCCAGAAGTGCTTGCCATTAACTCCTTCCTTAAGGCAGAGAGAGTGACTAACATAAAAGACACCCAGCTGTTTTGCTACCTCACCAGGCAAAACAAGTACTGAACAGTCTCACGGCTTCTATCCTGGTGCCTTTAAGCCACCACAAACTGGCCGCTAACGAGGCTAAGTGGGAGGGGGGGAAACGGGCCAGAGGGCCGTTCTGCTTCCGATTCCCCCCCCCCAACAAAAGCCAGCGACGACCCCTTTCTCGAACTGCCCTTTGGACAAGGCAAAATGCCGTTTCATGGCCGACCAGACCGACGCCTTTCCGACAGCATGCAAGGCACGGACACACCGCACGAGGGCAGCCGCGGGCTTTCCCTGCCGCCCCCCCCCCCCCCCCGCCCCCCAACCACCCCGGGGGGGGGCCAACCCCGCCTGGCGCCGCCCCCGCCCCCCCCCCCCCCGGCGCCCGAAACTCCGCCCTTGCAGGGACCGAGAGCCCCGCCCACAGAAGGGGAGGGGCGGCGGTCGTCTCCCCGTCGGAACAACCGTCTGAAGCCCCTCCCCCACGGCTCGCTTCACCTGTTTTTGGCATCCCCTCCCCCACTTCCTCGACCTCGGAAGCCTCCCGCGCCCCTCCCCCTGGTTGTTTTTCCCTTCCCCTCCCCCCTTCACGTCGCCTCTTTCCCCCTCCCGCGGCAGGCTTTGACATTTCGCTCCTCTTCCCATTTAATTCTCGCGCACCCCTCCCCCCCACGCCCATCGTTGTTTTTCTGTCAGTAGGCCACCCCCTCAAATACACCTCACGACTACCGCCTCCTCCCTTGCTTTCCTTCTTTTATCGGCGCCCCCCCCCGACTCCCTCATCTTGAAATCCCGGTGTCCTTCCCCACCTTTTTCCTGACCTACTTTCCTACTTCGGTACGAAATAAAATTGGCCCCTCACCGGATCTCCCGTCACCCACAGCCGTCACCGCCGCCGTTTCAATCTTTCTGGCACCTTCGACTCATCTGCGCCTGCGCTCCCCACGGGTAGGCACCTGGCCGCGCATGCGCTCCAAGGCTGTTTGTGTCTCGCTCGCACCCAACTAGGCGTCGAGGCGGCCTATCCTGCGCATGCGCCGGGGCCGTCCCTCAGCGGACTAAGCGATGTCGTTCCCTGCGTCGCGTTCCCCCGTTCACGTGGCACCTCGCTACTGTCCCCGTGACTCACGTGCGGGGTGGGGTTAGTCATTCAATAACAACAACTGCCGCGCCCTCACCCCCGGATCGGAGTCGGCGCTCCCGCGCCCTGATTTGGGCTGAACTGAAAGCGAGACTGACCTGAGGCGAAAAAGGCGAGCCCGCCGTCTTTATGCTCTAACAGCGACGCAGTGTTTACGTAAAGTGTCGTCAAGGAAACGGCGCTGATTGCGTAAGCGCCCTCAGGAGTCTATGCGGAGGCGGGGCCCAGACACACAAAAGAGGGAGGAGGGGGAGCAGGGAGGAGAACGAAGCGCAGGTCTTCATCCTCGTGACGGGGCGGGGCTAAAGAGGGGCCAGGCCCGCCCATCTCCAGCTCAGGCTGCGGTGCTGATTGGCCAGCGTTCTCCAAGCTTCTCCTGGAGGAGGGGCTGGGAGCGTCACAGAAATCCTCCGCGGCGACCCGCCTCTCTAGTATCGAGGTCTCTGATTGGCTCCCTCGAGGTCGTGGGGAAGGCAATGAGAGGGCGCGGTGTAGCCTAGGCCGAGCGGGGCCTGCGTGACGAGGGAGCGGCGAGAGGGAGAGAGAGACCAGGCGAACGCCGGCTGGTGGCCGCGGCGGTGGGTTCGGCCCACGGGCCGGGTGAGTGCGGCGCTCCTACCAACGCCGAAGCCGTCCCCTCGCGAGGGACCGCCTTCCCCTTCCTAGCCACCGCTCCCTCCGCCCGGCCAGCCCTGCGCCCCTGTCAGGCTCTCCCCTCAGGCAGGGCTGACCTTTGACCTGCACATTTAAGGCATGCGGTGCTGGCTGTATGACCCCCCCCCGGCCGATTTTGCCACAAGCCGACATCAAACTATGGCTTACCCCCAATCTGTCATAGGTAGGACGGAAGGATCTTGGTTGAGGAGAAGGAAGCCCAAGAGGAAAAGCGTCTTTGGGCCACAAAAAACGGCTTTCTCAGGTTGCAGATGGTTGCCTACTAGTTTCCAATTTCCTTGGTGGTTCCACCTCTGCAAAGAGCTCAGGGTGGCATACGTGGCCCCCTTCCTCCTCCTCCTCCTCCCACCCAGCAGAGGGGATTTCAGTACAGCATCTTCATCAGTGTGCTTGCTTTTTTAAAAAAAACCTATCTACAATGGGTTTTTTATTCAAGAAAATAGCATTTTTTAGCAAATCCTGTCCCATTCGTTTTCGTTCCTTTGTGGGTGAATGTGATTGGGGGTTTCTTTTGCAGTTTTTTTAAATGTTGCTGTCATTAAGGTTTTCTTTCTTCCTCTCTACAATCTGCCCTCCCTCACCCTTCCCTTCAGGTGTAATCATAATGGCAGAGGAGTTGGCTCCATCCGTGTTTTTCCAGCATCAGTATATGTGTTCAGAGTGCGGACTTCTCTACAACACTTTGGAGGCAGTGCTGCTCCACCACCAGAGCCATTTAGGGGAGTCCTGTGAGACTGCAGCCGCTGCCACTGTTGCTGATGCAGAATCCCAACAAGATAACCGCTATCAGTGCCTGGAATGTGGGTGTGTCTTGTGGTCACCTGATGAACTGTTAGCGCACCAGGAAGTGCATCCCAGGGAAGTACCAACCCGCCCTTCTCTCCCAGCCACCACTGGACAGATCCGCTACCAATGCAATGAATGTAATGAACTTTTTCCATCTACGAGCCTCTGGCTAGCTCACCGCCGGACACACCAGAAACAGGAGGCTCCGGCAAATTCTTCTCCATCAGTTTTACCTTCTTCTCAGCCGCCTCCCTCCCCCCTTTCCCAAATATCCAATCCTCAGCTTCCCCAGATCTCTTGCCTCTCAGCTTTGCAGGAACTACATCCGTCGCCGCAGTCAGTTCCCCCCATGCATCCTTACGAATGCTCAGAGTGTGCCTGTCTTTTCTTAACACCAGAGGAGCTGCTGGAGCATCAGGGTGAACATTTTACTGAAATCGAGAAAGAGAGTGGGGAGCCAGCTGAGGTGCCAACCCAGGAGGCATCCAGCCCCTACATGTCCCCAGGGCCAGGCTCTGAGGAAACCACAGCAGCACCTCCCCCCGCTCAGGTTTTCTGTTGTACTGAGTGCAAGCAGGCCTTTGGTACAATGGAGGCATTGCAAAAGCACCAACAGGAACATGTGGGGAGCAGTGAGGAATTCCTGTGTGGGGAATGCCAGCGTGGTTTCACAACAGCCAAGCGGTTATTGGCTCACCAGCGGGTGCATGTGGATGGCACATACGAATGTCCAAATTGCAACAAGATCTTCAAAAAGGCAGCCTCTCTTGAACAACACATGCGCATCCATAAAGGCGAGGCGCTCTACCTCTGCGTGGACTGTGGGCTCGGCTTCTCCACCGAGATGACCTTAATTATGCACCGCAAAAACCACACAGCCAACCCCTTGCACCGTTGTCATTGCGGCAAGACTTTCAGCAACATGACCAAGTTCCTTTACCATCGACGCACACACGCTGGCAAGAGTGGGATCCCAGCTGCACGGGGGGCCGGAGGAGACCCTGCATCCGGGCAGCCTGCTGAGCAAGTGCCCAGCGAGGAGGAAGCACTTGTGAATGGCTTGGCCCCTTCCTCCCTTTCGCCTGGGAACTCGGCCGAGGCCTCCAGTGGGGGGTTCCTGTGTCCTCAGTGTGGAAAGGCATTCTCCACCCATATCCGGATGGTGCGGCATAAGCGAGTCGTGCACGTGCTGGAGCGCAAGCACAAATGTCCCACGTGTGGCAAAAAGTTCAAGAAGCTGGTGCATGTGAGGAATCACCTGCGGACGCATACGGGGGAGAGGCCGTTCCAGTGCTCCGAATGTGGCAAGACGTTTGTTTCCCAGGCTAACTTGGCCCGGCACCACGTAACCCACACTGGAGAACGGCCCTACCAGTGCCAGGTCTGTGACAAGCGCTTCACTCAGTCCTCTAATCTTCGCCAGCATCGCCTTTTGCACATGGCTCCTAACGGAGACGGGTCCCACTCGTGCGACGACTGTGGGGCTGCCTTTCTCCGAGCCCGTCAGTTAGCCTTGCATCGAACGGTACACACAGGGTGCTTGCCTTTCCCTTGTCCGGACTGTGACAAATCGTTTTCACGCCATCGTCTCCTTGAACTGCACCAACTTAGCCACTCTGGGCACGAACCTCACCGCTGCCCAGACTGTGGCGCTCTTTTCGTGGTGGCCTCCAAGCTGCAGGAGCACCGCTGTGCCAGGCAAGACGAGCAGGGGAGCCCCCAGCAGTCGTACCTCTGCACGTCTTGCGGCAAGTACATGGGCTCATTGGCCAAGCTGACGTTACACCAGCTGATTCATTCGGGGCAGCGTCCGTACAACTGCCCGCTCTGTGGGAAAGCCTTCACCACCCCTAGCGGGCTGAGCCGACATCAACAGCGTCATGCTGGCCTGCGCCCTCACAAGTGCCCTACCTGCAACAAGACATTCGTGGCAGCCTCAGGGCTGCAGCTGCACCAGCGCACGCACACAGGCGAACGCCCATTCCTCTGCCCAGATTGTGGCAAAGCTTTCCGACAGGCCACTCATCTTCGCGAACACCGACGCCTGCACACCGGGGAGCGGCCCTATCGTTGTCCAGAGTGTGGCAAGGCCTTCGTGCAGTCCATGCACCTGGCTGAGCACAGACGGATCCACACTGGGGAGCGCCCTCACCCGTGTCCCCTCTGCTCCAAGACTTTCAAGACCATCTCGAACTTGCGGAGCCACCGCAAGACACACACAGCGCTGGCTGACGGCCAGGATGCTGTGCAGCCTTCGGAATCTCTCGTAGCTTCCAGCCAGTCCACCCAGACCATTATGTGCACCAAGTTTGGGGAGACAATTGCTATAATTGAGAGCGCAGAGCCTCTCCCCGTGATGGAGACCATAGAGATCTATCTAGAGATGTAAATTTCCCAGAAATGTAGAAGCCGTGCCAGGGGAGGGGAAATTTCCCATCTTTTTCTGTATTCAGAGTTACAAGGGATGCCCGAGGGCAGCGTCCACACTTTTGCCTTGGTGCAGAGGTTTTAAATCATCTTTAACTGTTCTGTATACAAATGCTTAACATGCCAGCAGGAAACGGAGCGCAACCCTCTCTTCGTACACCCTTCAGCAGGCTTCTCATAGCACCAAAAGTTGCTCATCAGCCGTTTTAGTTTCGTATGGAGGCCTAAGCTGCAATTTATGGACCTCATTTTGAGAATTTCTCTGGGCAGTTTTTTTTTTTTTTTGTCTTGGGGGGTGGTGGTGCTGTGGACTGGAGTTGGGCCAGCCACCTTGACCACAGCTGGGTGTTCATTGTAAATTAAAAGAGATGTGTTATATTCCATTACAGTCTCCCAGTTTCATTATCTGAGATTCTAAGGAATGGCTCGATAACAGTATCTAGGACAGGCTGTGCTACAGTTCGCCTATTGAATTATTTTTGCTTGCTTTCGGGAGGGGGGGGAGTTATCCGCTTATTAAGTCAAACAAAGTTATAATTTTATGATAGAATAATATTGCTACATCTTAAGGCAAAAAAAAGGGGATACTTTTGTGCTTTGATAGTTTGACACAATCGGTTTTATTATGCCTGCAGTCCTAGCAGAACAAGCCACGCTTTAATTAAAACTGTCCCATCTGAGCAACAAGTAAAAAGTACAGGATTTCTGCTTTAATATGTAACTCCTAGCTGAAGGCCAGTTCCATTTTTTTTTTAAATTGGAAAAGGTCTGTGCCATCTCTAGACGATTGGTGTATGATGACTGATGAACATGCATGTTTTAAAACTCAAGAATTTTTATGATGATTTTCCAGACCAAAATATTTTAGCATAATGGCAAAAGGAAATCATGATTTCAATGGATAACCATTCCCCTGGGTAGTTTTGTATTTGCTGTATTTGGACATCACGTTAACACGACTGATGTAACCCAATCCGAGTTCATCCAGCGGACTAAAACTTTTAACTATGTTGGCTTCACAAAAAACATTGAAGTATTTGCGGAATCTGGAATTGTTAGCAAACAGGCATGTTAGTTATCATGTGACGATATTACCTTTTTAGAATATAAAACTCAAAAGACAAATCTTAACTACCAAAGCAGATGGAAAACAAAGCCGACACCGTTCAGTGAAAAGATTCCAGTGTAACAACTAACCAAAGAATTATGCCACCTGGTTGGGGCAGTAACGGTTTGTTAATTGTGCACACCTAGCTACAATCCAGTGGACAAGTTCTCAGCTAATGCTAAAGGCTATTTTTCTCAATTGGGTGTAGCAAGCTTGACAGCTGACATTGCTAAGAGAGAGTGCATGTCCCTACTCATACACATTGAACAAAGTAGAGCTATGCCATTCAATCTACATGCCATGAGCATTCTTTTGTGAATTTGAATTGTGTATAGGAGAATTTACGGCGTTTCAAGTAGCCAGCCAGTATTAACACAAGGAACACAAGGCTGGAGCCTAAGATAAATACAGAGCTCTAGTTCCCCATAATCTAATCCCAAAAGAGTCAACCACAAATGCTTGGGGGCGGCAAAAACCTTGATCCCAACGTTAAGGAGTCCATTTTCATTTTTAAAAACAAAACCAAACCCTTTACATTCAGATTTAAATAGTGAAACTAGGATGGTACACAACTGAACCAATTCCACCCTCTCAGATCTGTACAGATAGTCCTCAACTTAACAACCACAACTGAGCCCAAAATTTATGATGCTAAGCGAGACATTTGTGAAATGAGTTTTGCCCCATTCTACGGCTTTTCTTGCTACGTTTGTTAAGTGAACCACTGCAGTTATTAAACTAGTAACACAATCGTTAAAGTGGACCCGGTTTCCCCCATTAACATTGCTTGTCAGAAGGTCCCAAAAGGTGATCACATGACCCTGGGACATTGCAACCGTCATAAGTGTAAGTCAGTTGTCAAGCATCCAAATGTAAATCACGTGACTACGGGGATGCTGCAACAGTCATAAGTGTGAAAAATGGTCATAAGTCACACACCAGTGCTGTTGTAAACAAACACCTCAACAGTGATTTTTGTAAAAAAAAAAAAATCGGGCTTTCTTCCTATTATTATCTCATTCGATCCTCTCCCCATTAATAAGGAGCTTCATGACAGTCCTTCCGTTCATGCCAATAATTTATTGAACCGGATGTCTGTACACAGCCAAAAAAAACCTAAGAAAGAAACTAACACACAATGTTGGGAGGAAGGAAGGAAGGAAGGAAGGCAGTGATGAGGATAAATATGAGGGTGAGGGAAATTATCCACAGGCTGCACCCTGGCTCCCTAGGGGGAACCGTCAATCCTAGATGATTTGCAAATGGAAAGGGAAACTGGGTTGGGGGGTGGGGGGGGGGTCAATCATTGCAACATTTCATTAAGAAAAAAATTAATCTATTTACAGGGAAAATGGAAAAAGGAAGCCATTTTAAGGGGTTTAAGATGAGGAAAATATGTATTTACAGCAGGGAGGGAACAGGCATTAAATTAAAACTTGCCTTCTCCAATTCCCTTTAGAGAACCCTACGCCCCCCAAGAGATCCACAAAATTTGATTTGTAGCACCGGGGGAGGAAAACTGCTATAGGGAGCAGGCGCAACGGAATTCAGAGCAAGCTTCTGCTAGTTTCCCGCCTGCTCTTAATACCAGCTTGTTCCAGACACACACGCGCAATAACACACAACTGCGCACACATACCCATGGGATTTCTCCCTCCCCCCCCCTGCAAGAAATCCCAGTGCTACCTCTGATGGGATCGCAGGAGGAGCGAGGAATGGTTGGCCATGCCCCCCCCTCACAATCCAAGGCAAGGGGGAGAGGGCTTGCTTGTTCCCGGTAAGAGATTGCGGGGCGGAGGCATGGCAAGCAAAGGAGCAGGTGGGCGGGTGGGGGGGGCTTGCAGGGGTGGGAAGGGGTGTGTGTGGGGGGGGAGGAAGGATGATTCCCCGCTGGAATGGGACAAAAAAAACCGAATGTTATTGGGCTATAAAACAGACCCGCTTAAAAATACAGCATCCGGGTTTCACAGACAGACACGTCTTGGGATGTGGAGGGCAATCCGGAGAAGGAACCGTTAACCGTGGGAAAGGGATATACAAGAGGTGGAGTTCGGAAAGCATGAATGACATGAGACTGGGAAATAAAATCATTTTTCCCCCTCCCCAAGGGGCGTTAAAAACAAGAGCAACTTAAAACTCAATTAGGACAGACTTGGGATTAGCCAGAGGGAGAGGGAGAGGAAGATGGCAGCAGCTCTCCGGTCCTTCCCCCCCCCCCCTCTCCGGAGGTACCAACCTGACCCGCTTTTGACAGAGAAGGGAGCTCTCAAGCCATGGGATTTTTTCTGTTCTCTCCCCCTCCCCAAGCCAAGGCATCAGAGGACAACCTTTGAGGGAATCCCCTCCCCCCTCCCATCCAAGTGGCCATCCCATCCCCAATTGGCCTCCCCCCTCCGCCTGGTCCCCGGGCCAAGATTGCTTTCCCCCACCATTCACAGTTCAGAGAAGTCCATGTGGGTGGCCTGGGGGTAGGGGGTGGTGGAGGGGACCTGCCCCCCGGGCCCAGCGACCCCTCAGGACGTATTGGCAATGGGTCCTGCGCCATCTCCTGGTGTAACCTGGCTTCTGTCAGTGTTCATTCTTCCCTCACCTAGAGAGAGAGAGAGAGAGAGAGAGAGAAAGGAAATTTAAGCCATGTTGGACCTTCCTTTTCCAAATGACCTGAGTTGTTAGTCTCATTTTGTTATTGTTAAGGGCAGCGCAGTGGTTAAACTGCAATATTGCAGGCCAGCTCTGCCCACAGCCTAGAGTTCGATCCTGACAGGGTTCAAGGTTGACTCAGCCCTTCCATCCTTCCGAGGTTGGTAAAATAAGGACCCAGATTGTTGGGGGCAATAGGCTGACATTGTAAACCGCCCAGAAACTACTATAAAGCATTAATGAGCTGTATATAAATATAGCAATAGCACTTGAGTCTTACATATCACTTCGTAGCGCTTTTACAGCCCTCGGAAAGCAGTTTACAGAGTCAGCCTATTGCTTTTAATAATCTGGGTCCTCATTTTACCGACCTCGGAAGGATGGAAGGCTGAGTCAAAATTGAGCCAGTCAGGATCGAACTCCTGGCTGTGGAATGCAGAGTTTTTTTATTTTATTTATTTATTTATTAGTCATATTTCTATGCCGCCCACTCTCCGAGGACTCTGGGCGGCTTACCCCAAAGACAGTATACTAAATAGCATATTGCCCCCAACAATCTGGGTCCTCATTTTACCCACCTCGGAAGGATGGAAGGCTGAGTCAACTTTGAGCCGGTGAGATTTGATCCGCTGATCTGCTGAACTAGCAGTCAGCTGAAGTAGCTGCAGTACTAGGTTCTAACCACCGCGCCACCTCGGCTCAAGTCTCTAAAGTGCTATTGCTACTGCACCCCATGCACAAATAACCCCCTGGTGGGACAGCTCCTCCCCAAAATTCAAGTGAAGCGCCACGAACGAGAAAGCACTCACTGTGCGAGGTTCCAGAGCCAGACACAGACCCGACTGAGCTCGCCTGGGACCGGATGTGCGGTGGAATGAGGTTGGAATTCAAACCTGGCTGGATGGAGAGCTCTGCAAAGAAAAGAGAGAGAGAAAGAGAGAGAGAGAGAGAGGGTGAATCATCCCATAACTCACCTGGGGAGGATTCACTCATTTCTACAGGCTCCTCAACATGCCTGAGGAGCTGCTAACCTACAGAAGTTGAGAGCTCCACCTGACGTTTATTTTTGACGTGAGGGCCATGCCACCAAAGCATAAAAAAAGACCCAACTTTCGGGTGGGGGTGGGGGAATGAATTGAAACTACTAGTGGTAGTTTTAAAAGGGCTTTTAATCCCCCAACGCTGCATAGCTTCAGTTCCCAATTAATTATTCGATGACAATGCAAAACGGAACATTGTTTTAAGTTCATTCGCGCTGCAATCTAACCGTTCAAAAGATGGTTATCTGGAGCGTATGGGGCCAGCCTGACGCAAAAGGCTGCAGGCCACATGATACCATCAAGGGCACTTTTCTCCTGTTAAACTGTTACACGGACAGCATTAACTTTGCCAACTGTGCTGAACCGAAAGGAGCTACGCTGTTAAAAAAAAGGGCATTTCAGGTCGCAGCCAATTACATTTCTAGCTGCACTAATTTATTCCCTTCCCAGTTCTACTTCACTGAGGCTGAAAACCCTTCCTGGGACACATCTTTTGTATAGAACGGGTGTCGGCAACCCATTGCTCTGGAGCTACATGCGGCTCTTTGGGCCCTCTGCTGTGGCTCCCTGTCCCATCACTGGTCAGCCCCGCCCCTCGCTCCTTTTATTTTGGGGGATATTTTTGGAAATCTGGGCTGGCTGAGGAACGATCGCCAGCCACAGCAGAGGCTTCCCTTTGGCCAACCCTCCTCCCCCTCCTCCTCCTGTGACCCCCTGGCCAGCTGTGGCTGAGCCAGGAGCATGCACATGCATGGGGAGACCCTCCTCAAGCAAACGCCAAAGTACAGGAAACGTGTGTGTGGAGTGGGAGGCCTGCACATGCACACACTCCTGGCTCGGCCACAGCAGCCAGGGGGTCACAAGAGGAGGGTCTCACACACACACACACACCTTCCCAGTTGTGTCCAACTGATTAGATGCCAGCCACTTACCCACAGGGCTGAAGTTGAAGAGCGGGGGCAAGTCACGGCCATTGGGCAACCGAGCGTTGGGCTCGCGCAGCTCGTCAAAGAAACTGTTGGCACAGGCCTCCAGGGGAGAGAGGCGAGTGGCTGGGGTGTACTCAAGCAGGCGACTGCACAGCGAGATGGCCTCCAGCGGCGTGCGAGGCTTAAACACCTGGGGAAGAGCAGGAGATATGGTCACGCCCAAACCAGGTGTTCCCTGCCTCTTAAAAACCCTCCCTCACCGTAAACCCAACATCGTTAATCCCAACCGTTAACCCAACACTGATTTCTCCAGAAATCACAGTTAATCCAATGGAGACGCTCCATTCTGGACTTCCAACCCTTTGGGTACTGGGGACCTCTTCCACAGAAAAAAAAAACCAATCCACAGACAAGGGGAGATGTGGTTTTGCATGCACGCAAAGATGAAAGCTTCGCTCGCTTGCGCGGCCCGATTCCCAATAGGCCAGGGGTCTCCAACCTTGGCCACTTTAAGCCCAGCGGACTTCAACTCCCAGAAGTCTGGCAGTTGAAGCCTGGCGGACTTCAAGTTGCCAAGGTTGGAGACCCCTGCAATAGGCCACGGACCGGGAGGTTGGGGGCCCTTGATATAGAAGATTCCACCACTCTACCAATTCATGTTCTTGGTGTTATTGTTTTTAAATCTGAGCCGTTATTTTATTTATTTATTTAGCGTACAACATCTACAGAACTCATCGACATACAACACTAATAGAACGTTATACGCACAAATACAAAATCTAAATAGAGCATCAGCGTAATCATGCATGTACAATGTGCAGACAAATATACCAAACAAGATGAAGAAATTAGGATAAAACCATGATAATGATCGTACAATATGGCACCACAGAGTTTCAACAGGACAGACATTGTATAGTTCAATATCTAATGAAGCTAACCATCTAACTCAGTGTTTTTCAACCTTGGAAGCTTGAAGATGGGTGGACTTCAACTCCCAGAAACCCCCAGCCAGCAGCGCTGGCTGGGGGATTCTGGGAGTTGATGTCCACCCATCTTCAAGCTACCAAGGTTGAGAAACACTGATCTAACTGCTTCTGGTGTGGCTGTGACGAGATCGTCCCAGGGACCTTGAAATCTCCTAAGGCAGGGGTGTCAAGCTCCCAGCGTCACATTGTCATGACATGACGTATCGTGACTCCCCCCCATTTGCTAAACCGGGGTGGGCGTGGCCAGCACATGATGTATCCGGGCCTCGAGTTTGACACCCCTGTCCCAAGTGAACATTCTTGAACTATGGGTGTTATTGCAGAGTTCCCCAACCTGTTTGGCTTTGCGGACCAGCTGGGGGAAAAGAGGCGGGGGAGAGAAGGGATGCTTCCACATGCACGCTGGGCAAGCATGCACACGCAGCTCCATTTGCACAAGTGACCGTTCAAAGTTGCGACGCTGAAAAAAGTGACTTACAACCCGTAAGTCCTTGCAGTTGTGACCATCGCAGGATTCCCCCCCCACGGTCACGTAATCAAAATTTTGGGTGCTCAGCAAATGGCATGGACTTATGGTTTCCAGCAAGCAGAAGTCCATGGAGAAAGCTGGATTCGCTTAATGACTGCAGTGCCTCATTTAACAACCGTGGCAAAAAAAAAAAAAAAAGACTGTAAAAGCAGTTGGCTGACAGAATAGCCGTGTTGCTTTAACAATGAACATTCTGGTCTTATTGTGGACATAGGTTGACGCCTATATTTGCGGTATTTAATTTACACAAGGGCAGCTTGCAAAATTCTACTTTCCTGGTTGCAGAGATTTTTTTTAACGCCAGGCACCTATAACCCTGCTATGCCAGGACCCCTTCAAGTGTGCCCTTTTCAGTGATCTTTTAGAAATGTAAACTATCTTGGACAATAGCACAAAGTCAGCCGTCATGTTTCATCTTCTCCACAATCTCCCTGCTCCCCCCCTTACCTTTATCCATGGATGTGCTTTGATCTGGGGGAACTTAAACTCTGTGTAGTTGGGATTCATCTCTCGTATCTGTTCTCGCGTCGGTGTTCCCAACACCTGCAGAAGGGAAGGGAAGGAGGACAATCAAACCACGGCAAGTCTCGACAGTACTTCGACAACAAGACAAAAAGCCCAGTCACTCGGCCCATTAGGCTGACTCTCCGATTCCACTTCAGTATTTGCAGGACTGAAAATAGGTTGTAGCATTCTACAGGGCAGGTAGGGGGGAAAAAATAAAGTTAAAAAGTTACCTTGATGATCTCCACTAGCTGATCCACTCCACTGTCCCCAGGAAAGATGGGCTGCCCCAGGAGCAGCTCGGCCAGCACACAGCCAGCAGACCAGATATCTACGGGAGAAAATGGGTGCCGTTAGCCCCACACGGAGAGAAGCACTGCTTGCTATAAAGAGCTGCAGTGTGTTCTCATTTGGTTCTTGAAACCACCCTCCGAGCTCTCTTGGTTTTCTGGCCAGGCAAAAAGATCTTGTGTTCAAAACCGAGCATCTCCAAGCAGACTGCAAACACAGTTACGGGCCGGAGAAAGTGCTTCTCAATCAACACAGAAATATTAAGCCAGCGACAGGAATCAATATGCTGGCTAGAAAGATCGGGGAGGGAAAGCCGAGTGGCCGAAAGGGAGCTTCCGATTCTCACCTGACAATTACAAATAGCCCTCGAGGTACAATTGGGGCTGGAACTTTCATTGCTAAGTAATGTGGTCGTTAAACGAGTCACACCCAGTGTTATCACTTTTCCCACAGTTAAGTGAATTTGGTTTCCCCCCATCCACTTCGTTGGAAAGCCCTGGGAGGATCCCAAATGGTGGTCCCAGACCCCAGGATGCTGCAAACATGCCAGGTGCTGAATATCCGAATTCTGACAATGTGCCCGCAGGGATACTGCACCGTCGTAACTTCGCAGAGTTGCTAAACAAATGTTCATAAGTTGAGAACTACCTGTATAGGTCTTTCTTCCTATGATAAAGCCGGAGATAGAGCTATAGCATAATGCAACCCATTTCCAGGTGGACTACAACTCCCAGAATTCCCCAGCTAAGGCATTTCTGGAAGTTGTAACTCCACACTTGGAGGTTTTGGGGAAAGTCAATCCAAAACTGTTCAAGCCGTCATCCTTTTTTTGCAATTCACACAAAGAATTTGCTTCCGGAAGCAACCAACATCTATGGAAGGAAATTCACTTGGTCTGAGCAGCTAAAACTTGTAAGATTTCTCAATGGGCTCACCTATGTTCGAAGTGTAATCGGTGGCTCCAAAAATGAGCTCAGGCGCACGGTAATAGCGAGAACAGATGTAGGAAACATTGGGTTCGCCTCGCACCAGCTGCTTTGCACTGGAAAAAAGAGGGAACAGTAGATGGGGATCTCCAGAGAACTAGAATGCTATTGAAATGAGGGCCGAGAGGCATAAATTGAAGCCCCTGTAAGACCCCCACCCCCACCCTCGAGACCTTCAATATTTCTTCACTGCGTTCATTATCTAACAAAAAGTGAAAATGATTCAACGCACAGTTTAAGAACAGCAATATAAATTACAATAAATCTACCGTAAAGTTCTCTCTAAACAAAATAAATACAAGGATTTGTCCTGGCTCCAAGCCAGTTTTGGGAACTGCAGTTTACCCTCTGCCCATCATTCAGAAGCCACAGAGAGATCTCAGCCCAGAAAAGCATACCTGCTCCCCCCGTTTAACAGAACAGCAGAGTTGGAAGGGACCTTGGAGGTCTTCTAGTCCAGCCCCCTGCTCAAGCAGGAGACCCTACACCATTTCAGACAAATGGTTGTCCAATCTCTTCTTCAAAACTTCCAGTGTTAGAGCATCCACAACTTCTGGAGGCAAGTTGTTCCACTGATTAATTATTCTCACTGTGATGAAATTCTTCCTTAGTTCTAGGTTGATTCTCTCCTTGATCAGTTTCCATCCGTTGCTTCTTGTCTTGCCTTCTGGTGCTTTGGAGAATAGCTTGACCCCCCTCTTCTTTGTGGCAGCCTCTCAGATATTGGAACATTGCTATTATGTCATCCCAGTCCTTCTTTTCATTAAAAATCCATTTTAAAAATTTCATTAGAATTAGGGCTGACAGCTCTAGATTTGCAGCAGGAAGAGGTGGGTCCAAATCCTGCTTAACCTTGAAGCTCAAACCAGTCGCTCGCTCTCGCAACCTCCTCACCGAGCTGTGGGAAGGGAAAAACGGCAGCAAAGGGGGGGGGGAATCCAACTGTGCTGTCCCAAATATCTGGGAGAAAGAGTAAGACCTGTAACATTTATTTACAGGATGTGGCTCATAAATTCCTTCTGGGGAAGCTTTGCAAGATGACTGATAAAACAATGCCAGCAACAATAACAAAAAAAAAAACTTAACAGCTACGCAGAAACAAGGACACAGAATGACCAACACTCTGAACGCATGGGGGGGTTGGGGAGAAGAAAGGGTCAGTCAAGACCGCCAACCAACCATGTGCAGTAGCTCTGAAAGGAAAGCCTTTTTGAGGCAACCAGGCGCAATGTGAAAGTTGCTGGGAAAGGCACGGGCCACAGAGAAGCAGAGTTGCACATTAAGGCAAAGAGTGCGTAAATCTTTAGGGAAAAGATTTCAACTTCCTAAGAACAAGCTGGGTTGTTCACTGAGCGGTGGCTCAGTGGCTAAGACGCTGAGCTTGTCGATCGAAAGGTCGGCAGTTCAGCGGTTCGAATCCCTGCTGCCGCGTAACGGGGTGAGCTCCCGTTACTTATCCCAGCTTCTGCCAACCTAGCAGTTCGAAAGCAAGTAAAAAATGCCAGTAGAAAAACAGGGACCACCTTTGGTGGGAAGGTAGCAGCGTTCCATGCACCTTTGGCGTTTAGTCATGCTGGCCACATGACCACGGAGACGTCTTCGGACAGCGCTGGCTCTTCGGCTTTGAAACGGAGATGAGCACTGCCCCCTAGAGTCAGGAACGACTAGCACATATGTGTGAGCGGAACGTTTACCTTCACCTTGGATGATTGTATTTTAGGATTATGATCATGATTGAGAGACTTGTTGCTTGTATGTACCCTGAGAGCTTAAGCACCGGAGAACAAATTCCTTGTTTACACTTGGCCAATAAAGAATTCTATTGTCTTCTATTCTGCTTGTGGCTGCAGAGCCACGAGGTCTACAGACAAACCCGACTTCCACTTCCTCTGGTTAGAAGGCTGATGTTGCCTGCTTCTCTTACCTGCCGAAGTCGCAAAGCTTCAGTACGGCTGTATCAGGATCCACCAACAGATTCTGAGGTTTGATGTCTCGATGACACACGCCTTGAGAATGGATGTAAGCGAGGCTGCGGAACAACTGATACATGTATACCTGAATGGAGGAAGGGCAGCGGCCATTAACAAGTGTCAGTTTGGTATACTTTAGATCACTGGGAGCCTGTGAGTTCTAGTCCCGCCTTAGGCATGAAAGCCAGCTAACTGACTTCATGCCAATCGCTAGGAGCCTGTGAGTTCTAGTCCTGCCTTAGGCATGAAAACCAGCTCAGTGACTTTAGGCCAATTACCAGGAGATTGGGAGTTCTAGTCCCGCCTTAGGCATGAAAGCCGGCTGGGTGACTTTGAGCCAGTTCCTCTCTCCAAACCTGCCTCACAGGGATGTTGTTTGTTATTCAATTTTTATCTCATCTTTATTACTTTAGATGGTGAACATGCCTAATACTCCTTCTATTTCCCCCCAAATATCAATCTTCAATTGCTGTAATGAAAATAGGTGAAATGGGTACTAGATAGGTTTTGCTGCTTTGAGTTGGCCATAATAGATATTTTAAAGTGGGATAAAAATATAATACTATATCTTAAAAGCAAAAACTAGCTATAAATATCTACTTTCTTAGTACTAAGGTCATCCTCTAATTCTGATACAGCAAACATGATCATTTGTCCCTACCGTCTGGCCAGTCCTCAACTTACAACCAAAAACGAAGCCTGGAATTTGGGTTGAAAGTCATTGTGGTTGAGGCCCCAAGTGGTTCACCATGTGACTCACCTTACAACCTCCGTCTTAATTTTAAGACCGTTTTCAGGAAGGTCGTAAAGTGAGTCACTTGGTGAATTACCCGATTGGTAAGCAAACCACATGGGCATTAAGCAAATCAAACATATCCGATGGACTTTCTTTTCTTTTTTTTTTTTTTGCTGTTTCCTGCCAGAAAAAATGGGGGTGGGGGAGTTACAAATCATGGCCACATGACTGGGGGACGCTGTAGCCGGTCGTAAATATGAGCCAAGTACCCAAAATGCAATCACATGACCACAGGGGGGGGGGCGGGATGCATCAGTCGTAGTTTCGAGGACATGTCATAAGCCATTATTTTTGAAGTCCGCCGTAACTTCAAATGGTCATTAAGCAGAGGCTACCAATAATACTTCTGTAAAAAGAGGATCATAATTGGGCAGCTTGCCGATCAATGTTAGTAGATTCCATCACTATGGAGCAGTGGTGGTATTCAGCTGGTTCTATCCGGTTCGGACAAACCAGTAGGGGCGGCGGCTCTGCCCACCCGCCTGGACGTCATCACGTTCCGTTTTTGACGCTCTGTGCATGTGCGGAAGGTCACGCGCGTGCTCATATTTGCAAACCGAAGGTAGCGAAGGTAAGTGGATATCACCCCTGCTATGGAGGCATCAAATCTTCCTGAAAGCATCTATGCTCACTGTCTCCCGTTTCTGCCATAGATGACCACATGGAAAACAGAGGGAAAATGCCATGCCCGTGGATAATGGCCTAGGTCCATGATGGCGAACCTATGGCACATGTGCCACAGGTGGCACGCAGAGCCCTCTCTGCGGGCACGCCAGCCGTCGCCCCAGCCCAGCTACATCGTGCATGCAAGCATGCCTCCCGCCAACCAGCTGGTCTTCGGGTCTCTGCCGTGCATGCGTGGGGGGCGGGCACATGCGGGGATGCATGCACACATGCATGGGGGACACATGCGCGCATGCATAGGGTGCAGGTTGGTGCAGGAGGCTTTCCAGGCCCGAAATGGGGCACTTGGGGGGGGGGATGCCCCATTTTGGGCCTGGAAAGCCTCCTGCACCAACCTGGAAGCCAAAACGGGATGCAAGAGGCCAGGGCGCATGCATGGGGGGGGAGCTCGCATTGCATTTTGAGGGTTTGGGCATGCGTGTGTGTGTATTTTTGCACGCACACGTGCGCTTTGGGCACTCAGCACCAAAAAGGTTAACCATCACTGGGCTAGGTGGATAAAGAAAAGGGGAAATTTTTTTTTCCTTTTAGCATTCTGTCTGCTAAACCAATGCTAGTTAAACAGACAGAAAACCTAAGTAAGAGGCAGACAGAAGCAATCACCAGCCCAGAATAACTGGAGATGTTTTGAGAATTCCTGACAAGGAACCTAAAGGGAGTTAGAGAAGAAGAGGAAAGAATGAAGTATATGGGAAAGAAAACAATAAACTGAACAGAAGGGCAGGCGAATAGGCCCATTTCAGTATTCAAACGATGAATGTGGGCTACAGACTTAACTATCGCATTGTGCGATGGTGAATGTGAATATTGCTTCATTTTAGTGCTTTTTAAAAATGTATTATTGAAAGAAAAAAATAAGTTTTTTTTTTTAAACCGCAAAATAATGCAAGTAAGTTTCCTTAATGGTGAAATCCACTTCTTTTTGCTTGGCCTGAGGCAATCTGCAGTCCCACCCACATCAGCCACCAAGGCCAGATGGGGATCACTATGGCATCCAAATTATGAGTCATCCTTTGCCCACAGTTCATTACCACTTGCCCCGAGGGAAGCATCCCTGGATTGGGGGGGGGGGGGGGGAGACATGCAAAGTCTGTCCCAGATGTCTGCTCACTGGGCTGCATATGGCTGTCACCACCATTTGCACCAAGGAGCGATTCCAGAAGTTCTCCTTAAAAAAATTTGTTTGTAATTTATATTTGTTTGCAATCTTTTGGATTGCTCAAAAGCCATTTTGAGAGGACTGGTCTCCCGAAAGGTTTGAAAGAAATCATGATATTAACGAAACAAATAGATAAAAGAGAGCCAGTTTGGTCTAGTGGTTAAGGCACCAGGCTAAAAAACGGGAGATGGTAAATTCTATCCATGAAAGCCAGCTGGATGACTTTGGGCCAATCACCAGGAGACGGTGAGTTCTAGTTCCACCTTAGCTGGAAAGCCAACTGGGTGACTTTGGGCCAGTCATTCCCTCTCAATCCAATTCAGTTTCAGTTTATTTAGCTTTATATACCGCCCTACTCCCGAAGGACTCACCTCACAGGACTGTTCTTGTGGAAAAAATAGGAGGAGCAAGGAGTATTAAATGCGTTCACTGTCTTATTTGTAAAATAATAAAGGCGGGAGATGGATGGATGGATGGATGGATGGATGGATATAGGGATAGGGTGATTATAGCTACAGTAGATAGCCATAAGGGCAAAACAGATCTTTGCCTTTGGACTCCCTACAAGTAACTTTGCCTAGTTCCCTACAAGTAAAAAACTAATAGCAATAAAGAAATAGTTGCTAATGCCATTGCAAAATGCCATTCCATTCCATCTTTATGCCCTGCCACTTGAAAAGAAAGACAAATCAAATCCAGCCCACTTTTCAGATAAAAAGATCAAGAATTAAAAATAAAAGAACAACAATTATTTTTAAAAAAGAAAAGAAAACGCAGCACCCCAAAAGCATTGCATTTGATGGAAAGGTGGTCTGAAAAAGGCCAAGGTATTTAAAAAGACTAAGGTACTTAAACTCAAGGGATTAAGAAAAATGCAAGGCATGGTGGCACCCAGGACAGGTTATGCAATGGGGACCAAAGCTATTTAAGTGATGAAGAGGGGAGGGGAGGGGAGAGATTTTTTTTTTGTTTTTTTAAAAAAAGTCTTTGTGTAAGGAAAGTCTCCTCCCAGCTTTTCTGGTGAAAAAAAAAGGAGCTCAGGTCAGAGGTGGTGGGAAAGATTTCAACCAGAGCCCCCAGAAAGCTGCTATTCTTAGTTCAATAATGCCCAGCTGGTGGAACCAAAGGTTTTCTTGTGAATCGGGACATTTTCTTGGTACAGTCTGATGCTGGATTTTATAAGTACAGAAAGAATAAGGAGATCTTTAAATCAAATAGGAATCTGCCCAGTCACTCGAAAGGTAAACAAAAGGCAAAGAGCTACTGGTATGCAGAAAGGGGTTAAACAAGAATTTTGATGCCATTTCAGAGGTAGCCGGAGATCAACTGAGGGATGCCAGGCTTTGTGGCCCAAGCAACAACTGGAGAACTACAGTTACCCACTGTCTGCCTTGGCATTGTAGTCCGAATATTATTCTCCTTCCCTGAATAATGCAAAGGCGGGGGCAGGTAGGAGAAGACAACCAAGTTGTATCCAGCCCTACAACAATTAACTTCATTGAAAAATCAAGGGGACTTTGATTTGGACTCAATCAAGCTTCTTCCACGCACAATGTAAAATCCAAAGAGTCAGTGGGCAGGACAACAACAGTCATACTGAACTCATGCCTTATAAATAGGAAGGTTCATTCTAGAGAAAAGTCTTATCTACCCTGTTTCCCCGAAAATAAGACATCCCCTGATAATAAGCCCAATCGGGCTTTTGAGCGCATGCGCTAAAATAATCCTCCCCCCGAAAATAATCCTTCCCCAAAAATATTTAAACGCAGAGCTGGAAATCAGGTAAGACGGCAAGAGGAGCCCCATCTTGCTCCACACACCCCGAAATAATAAGACCTCCCCAAAATAAGGCCAAGCGCTTATTTTGGGGTTCAAAAAAATATAAGACAGGGTCTTATTTTCAGGGAAACTCAGTATCTGGCTGCTAAAAAAAATGACACCAATATAATGGCATATTATTAAATAGCCAGGGGAGATGGAAGGCATAGATGCTTGATGGACAAAAATAATTTGTTCATCAAGACAAATTATTGTCCAACAGGAATAACTTTCTAATAACAGTATTATGGGTGAGGAATTCCATCTCAAACAAGTTTCCTTTTTTATGATCATCAGAACAAATGCTCCCAAAGGCATTACACCCCCCGAGAAATCTCACGACACCCATTCTGCCGAACCGGCAAACGGTAACCGATTCCCACAACTTCCTCCAATCCTCAATGTGCAAACGAGGGCTTGATTTTCATCTAAACCTAAGCCATGATTTTTTAAACCCTGGTTTGCTGAACAAAAGCTACCATGGCCTGCTCATAACACGAAGCTGTGGGTGAAGAGGCGCCTTGAGAGGTAAGAACGAAAAAACAGAAAGGAAGTCTGTTCAAAGGGAATGTGCGGGGAGCATCACACTCGCTTCTCTGTCCTTAAGGACTCTGTAAACTGGCCTTCAGCAATTCTGCTCAAGGTCACCTTCTCTCTTTAGGTTTTCTCCAGGCTGTCTATAAAGTTCTTTGCGGCCCAAACTGCTTGCATTTGGTTAAGAGTCAGGGACCACTTGAGCGGGGCCTACTGAGGCAACTGGATGGATTCTCCCATGACGCTAAACCTAAAACTCCAATCTCCTTTAGAGCTTAGTATGCATTGGGAATTTAACCAAAGCCACCCTTTGCTGGTACGAGAGGTTCTCGGAGAGGAACCGCACTTACCTTCACATAGATGACAGGGATGGTCTGTTTGGCTTTGGTGAAGTGGCGGGCCACACGGTAGACTGTTTCGGGCACATAATCCAGGACTAAATTAAGGTAAACTTCATCCTTCTGCAAGAAAGGGTGGAATAGAAGAGATCACATGGGAATTCCCTCAACTAACAGCATCTTATAAAAAACAGGGGTGGGGGAACTGTGGCCCTTTTGTGACTTCAACTCCCAGAATTCCCTGAGCCAGCAGGAATTCTGCGGGTTGAAGTCCACAAGTCGTAAAAGGGCCGTAATCCCCTACCTCTGCTATAAAGAGGTCAGTAGACTATATTATTTTTGTCTATTTGATCTGTATGGCAGCCCATCTCATCTAAGCGACTCTGGGCGGCTGACAACAGATAAAAAGAATCCAAGAAAAAACAAGTTAAATATCAACATGCAAACACATAAAAAGTGTCCCTCGTCCGGTAGCCCTGCCTGGTAGCTGCCATCTAAAAATGCAGAGATAAACATGCCTCCTTTATAAAATGAGAAATGCCCTTCCTTTTCACCCTCTCAGAAAACCGTAGTTTGAAATTGCAGACAGCACAGTTGCGGCTTCCTTCCCTATACCAGTAATTCTTGAGGTTTTGTGCTCAGAGGCATCCTATTATTACTATCTTTAATTATTGTTGGATTCGGCTCCAACAACAAACACGGAGCTTGCAGCTGAGCTCTACAGAGTCTTGCCTCAGATTAAGCATCGGCTAAAACAGGGGTGTCTAACCCATGGTCCATGCACCGGCACCGGGCCGCAACGTATCAGAAACTGGGCCACGCAAACAAGCAAAGCCCCATCTGCGGGATGCAGGCAGCCTGCAAAATCACACCCCTCCAGTCCATGGAAAACCTCTCTCCACAGAACCAATCCCTGGTACCCGAAAAGATTGGAGGCCAAGGACTAAAATACAAAGGGTTGGAAACAAAGAGGAGAATTAAAGACTTCTCCTTATGGAGTTTCATTATTTCAGCATCTCTGTAGACCCAGATTTAAGAAATTTCACGTGTAGATTTGCCCACCAGATTACTAAAGTCACCACTGGAGATGCGCCTCCCAACTTTTCCTCTTCTAAGCTGATAGGTAAGAGATTTGGAATAGAACAAGAATAGAATGCAACATACAGGAAGTCCTCGACTTACAGCGGTTTATTTAGTGATCTTTCAAAGTTACAATGGCACTGAAAAAAAATGACTTGTGGCCGTTTTTTTTAACACTTAACGACTTTTGCAAGCCTCCCCATGATCGAGTGATCAAAATTCAGATGCTTGGCAACTGGTTCATATTTCTGACTATTGTGGGGGTCCCAGGGTCAGGTGATCATCCCCTTTTGTGATCTTCTAACAAGCAAAGTCAAGGGGGAAGCCGGATTCACTTAAAAACCGGGTCGCTAACTTACCATTTGCAGCGATTCGCTTAATAACGGTGGCAAGGAAGGTTGTAAAATGGGGCAAAACTCACTTAGCAAATGTCTCTGTTAACAACAGAAGTGTTGGGCTCAATTGTGGTCCTAAGTCGAGGGCTACCTCTACTTAACAATTAACCTGTACGGTTGGTTCATCACATAAATCCCGTTAATCCATGTTCAAGTTCCCTTTGGGGCTATCGGTATTTGGAGATCACTTGAGCTGCAAGCAGATTTAAGCTCTTATTTGGTTTTCAAACTCATTGGAGAACTTTGACATACCTAGCAGTTGGGTTCATGCAATGCCTTAAGAGAGAATCAAACAAACCGTAGCATAACCAGGAGATTAGACAATCTCTATCAACCTAATCTGTCTCACAAGGCCACTGTGCAGGTAAAATTGGAGAAAAGAGCAGAGCAGAGCAGAAGTACTGAGAGGATACGTTGGACAATGCTGTGCAGACACCAAAAGCCAGCTCAACCAGAGCTGTTTGAATGGAATGTGTCCAGAAAATGATCTTTTCATGGCAGATAATAATAAACGTTTCTCCATTCTACAGCCTGTCTAACTGCCATATTCCACCACCACCCCTATTATTTCTCTTGCTAGACTTTCCACATTGAGAAATCTTTGTGGAATCAAAGAGCTACAAAGGCCATTCTGGGTACCAAGCTGATTACTAATCCAGATAACCTCTATGATTACATTACTTGGGGAAACTGTGTCGATCACCAGTAAGGATCTCTTAACTACTCATCCTGGATCTGAGAACTACCCGTATATTAAATGGACATTTGTTTTCAAACTGTGATTTCAATAAACGTATGCAATAAACATTGTGAGATGTTTCCTTCTGTGGAGGTTGTGTCCACCAAGAATGAAGATCCGGAGAGGGAAGGAACTAAATTATTTGTGGTTTTTCCCTCCCAGGATCTAGTATACTACAGGTAGTCCTCAACGTACGACCACAATTGAGCCCAAAATTTCTGTTGCTAAGCGAGACAGTTGCTAAGTGAGTTTTTCCCCATTTTATGACCTTTCTTGCCACCGTTAATAAGTGAATCACTGCCGCTGTTAAGTTAATAACATGGTTGCTAAGTGAATCTGGTTTCCCAATTGCCTTTGCTTGTCAGACAGTCGCAAAAGGGGATCCTGTGATCCTAGGATACGGCAACTGTCATAAATATGAGTCAGGGATGAAGCCTCTTGAATTTTGATCATGTGACCATGGGGATACTGCAACAGTTGTGTGAGAAACAGTTGTGTCATAAAGTCACTTTTACAGTGCTGTTATAATCTGAGCGGTCACTAAACAAACTGTTGTAAGTTGAGGATTATCTGTATCCTCATCTGTTTCAAGGAAGAATGGGATAGGAAGTCCAAAGGATGAACTTTGTGAGCATGAAGGGGCATCAAGTGTTACCTGAATTTCTTAAATCAAGTCAGAAACATGTCTTGGATTCACCATCCAAGGTTCTCCGACCTTGGCAACTTTTAAGACTTGTGGACTTCAACTCCCAGAATTCTCAGCCAGCATGAATCTTAAAAGATCTGCCTTACAGTATAGACAGTATATATTGTATGAAGGGATCATCGGAGTTCCAGTCAAAAATACAAAATGGGCAAAATGCAAATCCGAGGCAGATCCTCAAAAGCGCAAGGAGGAAGAAGAAAAAAACAGCCCTGTTACTCTCCTTTGGCGTGCCCTCTTTTCCCTCTTTCCAGCTTTCCCTCACCTTTTCTCCGCTCGAGTAGAAGAAATATCGCAGGCGGACAATATTGCAGTGATCCAGCTTCCGCATGATCTGCAGCTCCCGGTTCTGAAGTAAAAGAGAGACCAAAATGAGGCACGGAATCACAGTGGTAAAAACTAGCAGGATGGATCAGTCCCCTTTTCTTTCCAGTCTCACCTTGAAACGTTTATCTTGTAATACTTTCTTGATAGCCACCAGCTCGCCAGAGTCTGCTAATCGGGCTTGGTAGACAACGCCAAAGGACCCATTGCCGATCACTTTGATATCGGAATACGAGACTTCTTGAGGACGGTCAGGACCCTGGCCGGGTGTGGCCACCACGGTGGTCACTTTACTACTATCTCCTGAAAAGAGGAATGACGGTCAAATCCGGATCAGACAGGACGAAAGTCTGATTTAGTCCAAGCGGCCTAATTTGAACTCACTAAATGTCTTTCTCGGCCTTTCCCAATCCTTCTCGACAATTAACGCCCTTAAAACATTTCCAATCCCAATTAAAAAGATGATCTTCCCCAAACCCACATTAATACCAATAAGCGCCTTGGGGTACACTCCTTCGAACACCATCGGCATTGACAAAATCCCCCCTCGTCAATTGCCAAAGGCAGCTTTACTCGGAACCGCTGACATCCCGCGATAACATCTGTAACACCTTCAAACATCCACATCTGCCTATTCCAGGTCCCTAGGGGAAGGACTTCATAGGTGGACAAAAATAACCAAACTGAACAACTGCCTGTGTGATGAACCATAATAATTTATTTATTTTTTAAAAAAAACCAAGCTGGTTCATATCCTTGCCCCCCCTCCCAGTTTCCAAACTCAAATTCTACCCTAAGACTACCCAGATCCCTACAAAACCACATCACACCCCAACTCCTGACATGCTTTAAAGCCAGGAAGGAACAACTTAGAACAGTGTTTCTCAACCTTGGAAGCTTGAAGATGGGCGCTGCTGGCTGGGGGATTCTGGGAGTTGAAGTCCACCCATCTTCAAGCTACCAAGGTTGAGAAACACTGACTTAGAAGATGCTGTCGTAGCAAGCTTGCCCTTTTAAGGTGGGCCGGCCGGCTAATTGGTACCAAACAGGGATAAGTCATAAGAGACCATTTCGGGCAAATAACCAGGGGGAAGATCAGAAGGACAAAAGGGTGGTTTTGTTTTGTTTTTTTGGGGGGGCAGGCAAGCATTTCTTCTTCTTTTTTTTTTTTTTTTTTGGTTTTTTTTCCCCCCAAAAAAGAGCTGGCACTCACCATCATGGGCTTTATCCTTATCCTGCCTGCCCTGCCTCACCCGCTTTTCCTGCTACGACTTGCATCCCTGGCGAGAGTTTCTCATTCAGCCTCGCCATCCCAACGCCCTCACCACCCCCCTCGCCTGACCCCCCCCCCCCCCACAGCCCCAGCCCCACCCATGGGCCGCCAGCCACCCCTTGCCAGGCCCTTCTCCCTCCTCTTCCATGGACCCACCCAGCAGGGCAAAGCCGGTAGCCCAAGAGTCCCGGGCGGTGGGGAGGGGGGGGAGCCCAACCGGCACTCCATCCAAAGGGCAAGACGTGCCTCGGGCTCCCCTGGCCCGGCTTCCCCCCCCCCCCCCCCCCCCCCCCCCCCCCCACCCCTACCCCTGATTTCATCCTGACGTCACCGGAGTAATTCTGGAGCCCTCGTCCAGTTGCTGACCTCGGATAGCTTCTCCCTCCAAGCCCCGGTTGCCGGCCAGGGGAGGATCTGGAGCCGGGAAGGGGCTCACCTTGGGCGAACCCAGCCTGCCTCTCCCACTCCCCACACCGGCCCCCCCTCTCCTCCCCTCGGCCCCCAACGGCGACGCCCCCCCCGCCCCCACCTGCTCCTTGCCCCCCCTTCCTTCTCCTCCTCCTCCTCCTCGAGCCCCCAGACCCAATTCCCCTCTGCCTCGGGGGGGGGGGTCAGATGAGGCTCGCAGGGTCTCCCCCACTCCCAGGTTTCCCCTTTCCGCCCCCTCCCTCGCCCCTCGTGGCCCTCCCGCCGCCCCCCCCGCCTCAAGCCCCCTCGGCGCTCCTCCTTTGTGTGGCTCCCCCACCCCACGACCGCGCCTGCCCCATTCATTCCCCGCCCCGCCCGCTCGCCCGCCCTTCCCGGCCCCTCACACTTACGCCCCAGCTTGAGCCCCGGGAAGGCGACCGTCGAGCTGGAGCCGCCTCCCCCCGGCCCAGGCCCGGCAGCCCCCCCGGGTTTGCCCCCAGGCGCTGCCCCCGAGGTCGGGCCTGGCGCGGTGGGGGCCGTAGCGGGAGCCCCTCCGGACGGGTCTGCGAAAGAGCTCGTTCGGGGCCGGGAAGAACCGGCGCTGCCGCTGCTCATGGTGAGGCCGACACCGGGGAAAAGGGAGGGGGGGGGGGCCGCGCTGGCTGGCTCCGTCTGAGGCGGCTCGGGAGCCGGCCCTGCCCGGCCCTGTTGCAAGAGCCGACGGGAAATGGAGTCTCGGGCGCGGCCCGCCTACTTATCGGTTAAGGAAGAGAGGACTCGATTTCCCAGAAGGCGTCGCGCGGGCGATGGCCGTAAGCGCGGCGGTCGAAAGAGACGCTGGGAAAGAGAGTCCTCTTATTCCGCGCCCCCTCTGCGGCCGGCCGGGTTCGGGACTACAAGCCCCTGTGTGCCTTAGGATCTGAAGCGAGGGAGCGTGGGAAATGGAGTCCTACTCCGCGTAGCGCGTAATAGACTTGACGGGAGGGGGACTCCGCTTCCCGGCATCCCTCGCGCGGACCTGGTCAGCCTATCGCGCAAGAGGAAAGAGGGGAAAAGATTTGAGTTTTGGCTCCTCCCAAACCAGAGCAGGAAAAGCAAATCGTGAGGTGCGAGAGAGACGCGAGGCGAGCGCTCAGCCGCCTGAAGAAAAAGCCGAGAGACTTAACCTTTTGCCCATCGCGATTTCTTATCCATTAGCCCAGTCTCAAAGGGATCCGCCCTGAGGGCTGTCAGGCTGTGGCGCGATGAGGCGCGGAGAGAGAAAACTTGCGGGGCTTCGGCACTGCTTTTCCCGAAGTGCTTTGCGCGGGACCCCGTGACTCGGCCAGGGTGGCGCGGACTATCACGGGCGGACTACGGCTCCCATAGTGCATTGCGAGCAACAATAACAAAAAAAAAGGCCGTTGTTAGGGTGAGGGGCCTTGAGGCCGCCGAAGCACCGAGGAGTCACGAAACTCTTCGCCCCCGAACACGGCAGACGAGAAGCGATAACCAACCGGGCAGTCGATGCCTCGGGCCCAGAGAACAACTCGAGAGCGCTCAGGCGGCCTTCTGTGCGGGCGGGCCCGACACGCTTCCCGTCATGCACCGCTCTGCCCTCGAAAGGACTTGTGGGAGTTGTAGTTTGCGCTGCTGGAGAAAAAGCATCTCGGAGGCAGAAATCACAGTCTTCTCTGCTGACTCTGCTGTATTTCAGTATTAACAGTAACAGAGTAGAAGGTGACATGGTTAAAAGTTAGAATAAGTGACAGAAATAAGAGAAGGGATTAGTGTTAGTGTAGGCACTTTTACATAATAAAATAAAGCAACCATAAGAGAAAATACGGAACAATTGAACAAGGATAGATGGCAACTTATTATAATTGTTTTATTAGTATTAGAAATATACAAGTTGATTGAATGTAATAACTATGATTCATTTTACTAGTTTTATTTGTATTGGAATGTATGACACTCGGGTGCCACACTGTTCACGCATCGATTTCATGTTTTTTTTTAAAAAATACAAAAAACGCTCTCTAAGCGGTTTACAGAATTAGCATATTGCCCCCAACAATCTGGGTCCTCATTTTACCCACTTCGGAAGGATGGACGGCTGAGTCAACCTTGAGCCGGTGAGATTCGATCTGCTGAACTGCAGCTAGCAGTCAGCCGAAGTAGCCTGCAGTATTGCAGTACTGCACTCTAACCACTGCGCCTCCTCGGTTGATATTGATTGCTTATTTGTACACCTATGACTATCATGAAGTATTGTACCTTATGATTCTTGACTATATCTTGTCTTTTTATGTACACTAAGAGCATATGCACCAAGACAAATTCCTTATGTGCCCAATCACACTTGGCCAATAAAGAATTCTATTCTATTCTATTCTATTCTATTCTATTCTATTCTATCCTATTCTATTCTAAAGGCTCCCGGTTTCTTAGGGATCATATTTCAGTCGATTTGTCTGGGCTGCAAAATTGCTTGCAAAGCATATTTGCTTGGGAGGATTATTTTCTGAAACAACTTTTCCTGAAATGCAGTTTGCGCCTTTCCAGGTAAACAACTCCATGCAAAAGAGGAACCTGAGCTGCTCTTTCAAGGAAGGAAAGATCACCTGTGTGGCCATGCCACAAATGTGGGAGAGGTGAGAGGTGGGGGGGGGGAGGGGGCAGGCTATGATTAGTTAAGAAACTAAGGAACTGTATTGTGCAAACTTAGAAAAGGGGGAAATTAATAACCAGGTTAGGCGTGTTATGAAAGCCGCTCTGCATTTGGTGTGTAAGTCAACACTTGTGTCTAGGGTTTCCCGAGACAAATAACAAAACCCTAGGCTACTGTGCTAGGGTGTGCATTTCTTAGCACTTCGTTGCATTGACCTTTGAGCTGGTTCTTGGCTAACCATATATAAAGGGTGGAGAATGAGTTTCCCACTTCCGACCTCTGGAAAGCTACGCATAATCTCACACATGTGAGTCAGTCAGGAAAACTCCTTATATGACCTCCGTTCTTGGAGGCGGAAGAGCCAAAGAGTTGCAGGTTTTTTTATTTTTTTTCCAAACTCAGGAAACTTTAAGACACATGGACTTCAACTCCCAGAATTCCTTCAGCCGGAGTTGAAGTCTACACACATTTTCAAAGTTTCCACGTTTGGGGTGAGGGTGGGGGCAGAAGAAGCAATCCCCTTTTTTAGAGCCAAGGATGTGAGATCCACCCAGGTGGTGTTTTGTTTTGTTTCCCCCCACCCCACCCCCAATAATTGCTGGCATTGCACAATTTTCTAAGCTGCAATGTGGTTTCAAGCTGTTTGCGGTTTAGCATAGTGCACGAACTTGCAATTACCTTTAATTTGGCAAACCATGGCTTAGCAGGTTGAGTTGAAGGCAACCACTGTGAAATCTCTCTCGACGGCAGTGGACAGGGAGAATTCGGTCTTTTACGTCTTTCCACTTTGGCGTGTAGGAAGTTAGCACCCACTCTCTTAGGAAAATTAGATATTTTAGGAAATATTAAAAGGGCAGAATATTTCTCCTAAAAGGGAGGCAGAAACTCAGCCCCCCACACCTTTGTCACTGCGCTATTAAGGCCTGGGCCAGTCTATTCTACATAACAAAGATCTCCCTCCTTCAGGCAGAGACATCGTAGGAACTGCCCAAAGCCCTTTCATTATATCATCACCCAGCAAGAGTCAACCAAGCCTGGGACTCAAAAAGACAACCTACAAAATTTCCCCTGCATGCCCCCATGGGAGTCTGACAACCAATCAGAATACAAGCTCAAATTCAAAAGCTCAGAGAGGGCATAAAACCCAGGCACTCTCAGCATCTCTGCCCTTTTTTATTTTCTTCACCCCAAATCTTCAAAACCACGTGGTCCTGTCCACCATTAAAACCATCTTTCCAAGCAGCCACCCTGTTTCCAATGTCTTTTTCCCAGGGGTGAAATGCTATCTGTTCAGGCCAGTTCGCCTGAACCGGTAGTAAAAAAATGCTACTGGTTCGCCAAACGGGTAGCAAAAAAATGCTTTAAAAGGGTTAAAAAAAGATTCCCAAGATCACAGCTCTGCTCCACGATCGACGGGACCTTTTTTAAAAACTGTTTTAAAGCATTTATTTACTACCGGTTCGGGCGAATAGGTAGTAAAAAAATGCTTTAAAAAAGTTTTAAAAAGGGTCCGACAATCGCACGGCAAAGCTATGATCGTCGGAACCTTTTTTTTTTTTTTACTTTTTAAACGCATTTTTTACTACCTGTTCACCCGAACCGGTAGTAAAAAATGCTCTAAAAAAGTTTTTAAAAAGGTTCCCAAGATTGCGTGCCACAGCTCATTCCCCCTCCTCTCACTGTTCTACTTACCTTCCCAAGCCTCCTTTTGCACTGCACATTGCACATTTGGTGGAAACTGCATGTGTGCGCAGAGTGTGCACTTGGTAGCGTGCAACGAACCGGTAGCAAAACGGTTCAGATTTCCCCACTGCTTTTTCCCCACTTGAACTAAACTGAACCCAGAAGGATATTTCTTCCAACAGGCGCAAATCAGTTTCTCTCGCTCAAGTTATCCATAGATCCATGTTAGTTTAAAGCAGTGTTTTTCAACTTCAAGCTGGCTGGGGCACTCTGAGAGTTGAAGTCCGCACGTTTTAACCTCCTGAAGTTGAAAAAGATTGATCAAAAGCTGGGGGGGGAGGGGGCAATACTCCTCTGTGGGATCCACTAGGGGGCACTTGGAACATTGGAAAGAACAATGCTTTCTACATACAGTGCACACACGTGTGCATGTAGCCCGTTTCTTAGGGCAAGACCAAAGGTGGGCTATCTGAATCTCCCAAGGAGGATCTTCTTGGCAACTTGCCACTGACTACAATGGCTGAAAACAGATCACTGGGATAAACATCTCCAAAGATTAGTGCTGTGTTGAATACGACCTACATGGTTTATTTATTATACTTATATGCCGCCTTTCTCCCGAGGGACTCAGGGCGGCTTGCAGAAGTTAAGACAATGAAAGCAATAAAAATTACTACATAAGCAACCAATTTAAAATCCATCCAATTAAAAACCACCCACCAGATCAGCAAATTTGTTGGAAAAGCCATGTCTTCAGCTCTCGGCGGAAAGAACGGAGGTCGGGGGCCGTCCGGAGCTCCCTGGGTAACTCATTCCAGAGGGTCGGTGCGCCCGCAGAGAACTGTGGACTTTCTTGTTTTTTTTTTCTTTTGAAGACGTTTCACTTCTCATCCAGGAAGCTTCTTCAGCCCTGACAGGATAGTGGGGAAGTCCTGTAAGAGCTGAAGAAGCTTCTTGGATGAGAAGTGAAACGTCTTCAAAAGAAAAAAAAACCAAGAAAGTCCAGTTGCCTCCTGAAAAAAAAAACACCTTTGGGACAAACCATGACCTGGATGATTGAGAAACTCTACAGACCGACAGGGTAGATTTTGAGCTAGACTTGACTGAAAACCACGTAAGAATTGTCTGCTTCCATCCAAAGTCCACCAAGTCTAACATTGAGTTTGAAGCACTGGTGGAATTCAGTTTTTTTACCAGCACTTCTGTGGGCGTAGCTTGGTAGGCGTAGCTTGGTGGGCATGGCAATGGAAGGATACTGCAAAATCCCCATTTCCTCCTCACTCCAGGGGAAGGATACTGCAAAATCCCCATTCCCACCCCACTCCAGGGGAATGATACTGCAAAATCTCCATTCTCACCCCACTCTGGGG